CTTTTTTTGTGAGCAGGTAAAACTACTTTCATCTGAAATTACTATTCATCAAAGCATATCTCGATTTCCAGTCGTTCACTAAAATTTATTATTGGTGATAATCAACATCGTTTGTCATTGATATTCATGTAAAATGTTTATGTTGTTAAAGTTAAAGTCTTTCATATATTTGTATTATTATACTTGTACTGTTATAACTTTATTATATTTACATGTTTTTAGTTGTGTTTTCTGGTTGATAATGATTGAGAGAATAATCGAAAATTTCTGTTGTTGTTATAAAATATAAGATTTTCATTAGATTTACTCTACATTCACTCACTGGTGACCATTAGCTACAGCTCTGGTTCCTCTTGTACAAAGTCTGAAGAGACGTTCTTGTATCTTCTTCTGGTTGATCAATATTGCAAACGGCATGAATATGTCTAAACAATAAGTAAAGTTATTAGTATAGAACGATGCGGAACTATTAAATGATGTCTGTGTTGAAGCTACAATATTAGCGGCAACGTACGGCAGTTCAAAGAGTAAAAAGATACATGCAATAGGCAACAACTGTAGAAACATTTTCCGAGTCCGTTTCCATGTTTGTCGCACTTGTATGTTCCCAAGATTCTTGTTTGTCTTTCGTCTTTGATGAAGTACATGTAGAATGAGAATCAAATTGAATAGCATATCAAGAAACATTGGTAGTAGTGAAGTGAGAGTCCAGTCGATGTTAATGAGAATTGAATCTTCAGAGAACTCGTAACAGGCACCACCACAGTCACCTTGAGTATAGTCGAACTGTGTTTGCTCACAAGGATAGAAGAAGATTAGATAAGTATCCCACACGCAACCAAAGAGTATGATGAATACAATTGGTAAATAGTGAACGAAAAATTTTCGTTTCTTTGTTTTCAAGACAATCTGCTGATGAAAAATAAGTAGATAACGTTCCAAGCTAGCAAAGGCGACCAACCATAACATTATTGGATACAGAGTGTAGTCATACATAATCCAAAAGAGACAAAACGCGTATTGATTACTTAGTGTTGCGATATAAAAGTAATTATAGAGGAATGGTAACCTTAATGGAATATCAATCGTAGTGACGAGAAATGAGCAGATTAGAAGACAAATAATAATTTGGTTGGCAAAACGTTTATGTAGTTCACGTAATCGGATAAAGTAATAAAAGAGTAATAAACTGCAACAGATCGACAGAACGTCCGGAATTACAATCACATAGAATATAACACAGTTTACCGTTGATGGTCCACTATAATAATCCACAATGATAGTGTCATTAGCACTGAAGTTCATGGTTTAAGTTTCTTGACTCCTTGGACTTTTTTAGAATGAGGAAAATCACGAATGATAATAACATCTTTCTTTCTTTCTGAGCATCTCTTGAATCTATGAATTACAATCAGTAATGAAACGGAAGATAAAGATAATAATTACACAGATGTTTTTCTTGTCTGATAAGAAAATTCGTCGTATTTCACGTGATTATACTTTCTCATTCAAATTATAGAGAACATTTTAATTACATATACTTGCAAACGGAAATCTGTTTTTTTATGTCTAGTTTTTTAACAAGGTGGAAAAGTTGATTTCCATTTTTTTGTTGATTTAAAATAAATAGAAGATCAAATTGAGCATTAATTTGCTATATTTTTGTGTATTCTTTCAAGTAAACGAGAAGAAAGATTTATTGTGTCCTACGCGTATAGTTTGAACGTTTTTTCACAGTGTTTAACTAGCAGACTCAATTTAGTTCTTTTCTATTTGAAATCTTGAAAAATAAAAAACAATCATAGAATTAAATCAGGATTTTGTTCTGTTCCTAATGTAATTGATATATAAACATCAAAATTAGTAAAAATACTTTGAACTTTAACTGCAAGTTCAAATATATAATAAATATTAACCAAAGTAATGCTTTGAAATTCAGAATTTTTCAATTCTGTGAGTGTTCGTATGCAAAACGGTCATTTTTTGGTATTTTTAAATGGGTATTGTCCACAATGACTCGTAGAAAATATATATTCGTAAGGATCATAAATTACGAAAGTTCATGTCATGCATGCATAAAATACAACAAAACACCATTGTCATGTTTTACTAATTGGAAAAAAACTTTCAAGTATAGGAAATTAAATTTTGAGAAAAAAAAACAATTAATTTTTGTGTAAACAACAAAATGGAATGATTGTCAATTTCTTTTTTTCTGAAGATTTTTCAGTGTAAGTTTGATATAGAAAAAAAATTCTTCTAAGGTTTATTTATGACAAAAAGTAATAATAATTAATCCCCTGTCTTAAAGACGCATTCAATGAGTTCTAAGGTATCCAGCATTTTTATTTCTCACAGAAGATTTCGATTAGGTTTCATTATTTTTTTTAGAGTTTCTGATAAATAGAAGTTTGACACATTTTTACTGTGTGATCTATGAATTTAGAAGGTTATACCGTGACAGTATAGATCTTATTAAAGGGTGAGTGTCATTTATTTTACTCCACATCTATATCCTCAAATCCGACAATAGCAGATAAGAAAATAAAGCTGTAGAAACAATGGAAAGAAAACCCTGGTATAAAACAAGAAAAAGTACTTTTAACACTTGAAATAGTCCATCCCATATGAATCACCAATTTAATGAGTAAAAAAACATGATATAGCAATAGATAAATAAAATGGGTATGTTATCAAGCGAAAATAAGAGTTACACTTAAAATAGTCTTCAATATTCTAATATAACAATAGAAGAAAAGAAATAATAATTATCTCAAAAACTGTTTAGAAAGTTGATTCATAGCAGTTTTTCTATTTCTCGGATAAATAAGTAAAAATTATATATTTAAGTGATATGAAAGAGAATATATCGAATTATTAGTTATCAAAAGAGGATTCAGACCATATCTTATTTATTCTTCTCCTCATCAACACAACACATTCCTCTTCATTCTTTAATAGAAGTGAATATATTTCAAAGTTCCCAAAGTAAAAAACACATTACGACTACGACATGACATATATACAAATCTGTAATTAAATCTTTTCAAGAGTTACATGGACGACTAACTAGTATCTTTCCTTTGTAATTTCTTAAGTTGTACAGAACTGAAATATCTTCGTATACTCATATCAATGCTATAATTAATATTCTTTGAAGATAGAAGTAATATTGATAATTATAAAGCTTCACATGTAAATGTATCAAATGTGGATTTAGTTGCCATAGAATGATTAGAGCATAAGAAATACTAAAGCGATAAAACGATTATGTTTTTTTATTTTTACTTTTTCACTTCTATAATATAGATCGAATAATATGAACAATATTTCAAGCATTATCATCGATGTAAGTGTATTCATTTTTGCATTGACTGGTGCTTTAACATCAATTGGAATACTTATTTTAATCTTTTGTCATCGACATCAATGTCCTATTAATACAGCAACTCGTCTCATCTGTAATAACTATTTAGCCGGCATGATTTCCTGTTTACTTTTATTAGACACTTATGCACATAATTTGTATGGTATCTTGCATGAAAATATTTCTTTTAACAACTGGTGGTGTTATGCACGTTCCTATCTCGTTGCTGTTGGACTTGCTGCACTCTATCATTCATATTTAATTCAAGCATATTTTCGTTTATCTCGTGTGGTTTTTTACAAACGTAAACAATTATATAGTTCTCGATTCATGTTTCGACTTATTTTGATTCAATGGTTAATAGATTTTCTTATTTTAATACCTTCATTAATTCTTCAACATTATGATTATATGCCGCAATATTATTATTGTCAAATATTATATACTAATTGGCGTGGAATAGTAAATATCAGTATTATTGTGTATTATTTTCCGATGACTGTGATTGGATCAATTTATTTTTACATTGTATATTATATGAAACAGAACAAAAGCATTGCTATTCAACAAAATCGTCACCTAGGATATCAACGTGATCTAACTGTTCTTCGTCGCATTATTATTCTCATTGGAATGCTTTGTATGTTGAGTTTCCCTTCGGTAGTATTATATTTTTGGTATCTTATCACTGGTTATTTAATTCCATGGATTTATCATTTTCAATGGCTAACATTCACTTTATCATTAGCAATTTTACCAATAGCGACAGCTTGCTTAACACCTCAATTACGTGAACTATTTATTCTTAAATTCAGACAACATCTTCGTATTCATCCAATCATGGAAATACAACAGACTGATTTAACAACTACCAGACAGGAAACATTGTAATAAATTTTTACATATATCTCATTGTAGTTCGTCTTTTCTGTTGTATTGTAATTCTTTTTGTTGTCAGAAAAAAAACCGATTTAACTTATATAAACTTTAGATTTTAACCAAATAAAAAGAAATGGATGAGTATGGATGAAATTATATATTAGGTTCACAAATCCGATCTTATTTCGTTTTTCTTTTATGAAATTTCCAAGTTGCATACAGTACGAAAGTGCGACATCATAAACATACTTGAATCGCGTAATGATGAAATATTTGTGTTAGTCATATTTTTTCGTTCTGGTCTTCCGACATAACGATGCTAAAGGTGAGAGTTCGAGTTCTGTATTGATCGTACATTCTCAAAGTGCGAGAATTTCCAACTAAGTTTTATTCATTCTATTATGTCTTCGTAAAGATGTTAATCATATGAATCATTGAGAAAGAACATAAAATTGTACTTCCTACAGATGTTTACTTATGATTCTTACTGAAGAAAAAGAAAATATATTTTGCATATTGCTTTCATCTGCACAGAAAAGGTATGATCTCTTCACCATGAATGGCGCATTTCACATCATTGTGTCAGATGGTTAGTTTTATTTTTTTTTAAATTCTACATAGTCAATACTCACGTAAATTAATTCTGACTTCGTATTATTTGAGAATAAATTTAATATATCATCGATAGCATTGTTTTAGATAGATCGATTTCTATTATTGTATTTACTTTTCAATCTATATCTTTAAAAAAAAGATGAATATTCTTATCCTATGGTGTCTTTTTTATTCAATACTAACTGGAATAACTACTTCCTCATCGTCATCACCACCAAGTTCAAGTAATAAAATTCCTTTATATACAATTGAAGGACAAGTCGTCTTTCCACTTGGTGAAAATGTTCTTGACAATATACGTATACTAGTTGATGAAGGTTTATATATCGGTATACCTCGAGTCGATGGCACGTTTGTCGTATCGGGTGAGTTGTCTTATTACACGAAAAGACATATTGCTCTTCATATTTACTAGGAATACCAAGTGGTTCATACATCGTTTCAGTTAATTCGCCATTTCATATCTTTGAACCAGCACGTGTCGATATTAATACCAAAGGAAAAATTCGTGCACGTGCAGTTAATTTTATTGAACCAGGCAAAGTCGTTACAATGAAATATCCGCTACGCTTCGAATCACATACGAAACCAAATTATTTTCAAAAACGTGAAGAGTATAATCTGATTGATATTCTTTCGAATCCAACGTTTTTTCCAATAATCTTAGCAGTAATTTCAATTCCTTTAATACTCATATTCCTTAAGCAACAACAAGCTATGCAAAATATGCAAGATGCACCGGAAATACAAGACACTGTTCAACGACTTAATAACTTCATTCAACCAAATTACAACAACAACTTCCCCGATATTATCGATTGGTTAATTACACATGTAGGTGGTGCGAGAAGAATACGATCACCACCCGAAGAGACAACGGATTCTGATAGCAAACAGAAGAGAAAAAAGTTCAAACGAGCAAAAAATCAAACAGACTGAAGTTTTATGTGTTGTTTTTTTCTATGTGGATACGGATGTGATTGTAAATTATGTAAAATACCGACAAATATTCCACTTATCTGAATGTATGACAAAAGAAAACAAAATACGTAGTTACTAAACATGGATAAATTTTATTTTATATTCTTTCTTATCATCATGTTGAAAGAAAGAGAAACAAAGATTTATGTATCAACAAATACACAGAAAAGCAAAAGAAAAAAAAAGAAAAACGTAAATGCAGTTATTGTTGCCAACATTATATGTAATAATCGTTTTTATTTTTTATGCTTCATTCAGCACATAAATAATATAAAAGTTTGAGTTATTTATATCAGTTTAAAGAGAAAACCTTTAGCGCTTGTTTAACTGTAAGAGTGTGGATGTGGATAAGAGTATTCATCATCATATACCCATATCGGAGTTGCCAAACTTACTGATTTTTAATGTTTTGACAGGGTCCATTTATCGTCATTTTGAACAAATGCAAAAGACATAAAAGAAAGCGAGAACTGATGCAGTTAGGGTGTGGGTGTAGGTATTACATTAACCTTACTCTCACACACTTGCACCCACACTCAAAATAATACGATATTTTATATTTTTAAAATAGGTTAGTTACATTATTTAACAGTGAAAAAACAGATTTCGTCTCCGATTTCAAGAGAACGTATTCTTTTAGCCACTTGTATAGACTTTTCTGGTGAAGCAGTTTGAATATTTTCGATAATTTTCTTTATAAATTCAATAGTTGTTGAATTACGAAGATAACCACCACCATACGTCGAGATATAACTAGTTAATAAATCTTCTATAACATAAATTCCTCCGGATTTTACTTTTGGTAATAATTGAACAAATGATGTAATTTGTTGATTCATTGAATGACCACCATCATCAACAATTACATCAAAATAACCTTGTGCTGATTTCACATTGTTTAAAACTTGTATATCATCTTGACTGCCATAAAACATGGTGACATTCACCTACAATAGGAAAAGAAAAAGCGTTACATAAATTTATCTTTTAGTGACTATTGGACAAGATACAACAAAGGAGTAAATTTTGTAATTTCTACTAGTGGATTCGGCTTGAGATTTAATACTACATGAGGACATTTTTTTTAGATATAAGAATCAAATACTATGTGATCAACTCGCCTACTCTTTATTCTATACTTAATTAAAGTGTCATTTCGAACAGTTGAATAGCTGTTAATTTTGTTTATATTAAGGAATACGAGATCAGATGTATCTTAATTATGACGAAACGTATACTCAAAGAAACGTTAAAATATGTATATCTAAATTTAGTTTATCTTTTTCTTTCACACAGCACATAACAGAAATTGTCGAATTAAAAAATATTAGTTTTATGATAACCACCAATCGAAGATTAATTCATTTTACCTTATGTCCATGAGATTTATACCATTCTTCACCACATCGACGATCAAATTCAAGAAAATAAATATTTGCTAATGGTCCTAGATAATGACGCCATACATATGCTGATGCACCTGGTCCATATGGCATTCCACATCCTAATCCAATTTCAAGTAGAATAACATTGGATCCTACATATTTGCTTAAATATTTCTCATATAATATATCATAATGATGTGTCGTAACTTTATCGGTCTTGTATGTAAGACTTACATTCAAGAACGATTGTTGTGCCGAATTGGTTGTATTAATTCGGCTTGCATTACTTGGAGATAGAATAGACAATATAGCAGGATTTCGACACAAAGTTCGATAAATATGAGTACTATAATGAGGACTTGCAACAAACACTCCAACTGCGAACGCTCCTATAAAGCTGAATAGAACGACAATTACACGAATGAAATTTGTAGTGTAACCATTTGATGATTCTGATTCCATGATGCACCTTAATTATTTATCTAAATTAAAAAAAAAGAATGAATAAAACAACTTTTTTAACAGTCCTATCATTCGTTTCGATAAAAATAAGTACATCGATTTCATAACTATTTTAATAGTTTTTAAAATACTCGTATATCTTTCTTTTTCTTTTTCTTTTTCTTCTTTCATTTAAATGTCATGGTTCACAGAGCTGAACAAAATTTTACTTTACACTGTATATTTCATTTATGTTCGTTGTGACATACGATGGATGGTTTTAAATAGATGTCCTTTCTTGCCCATTACATTTTTGTACAATTCAATATGACTTGAACTTGTACGTGAGGGTGGTTATATGATTTTACACTCACACCCTACTCGTATTGATTATCTGTCCAATTGAAACTGTTCGGTATACTAAATATTTAATTCTTCTTTCAATTTTAAATAAATTCACAAGAGAAAAAACTAGTTCTGATTGTTATTATTTGTTCAAATTATGCTTGTTAAGAATTACTTCTGACTTAACTGACTGTATTTTTATACAAATATTTGAGAGAGAAAAAAATTTGATAAATATCTTATATCAATAGATACTATGCAATTCTTTACAAAGAAGATTTCGAAAAGCTTAACTCCAACAAGAACATCATCGTTACAAACATTATCACATTATTTTTTATACAAAATAATAATTACTAATCAACAAAGAGAAACAGCATAACTATTTTGTGACGGATAACGATCCGCCAGTTCTGCATCTCTTTCTGTGCTGTTTCATAAGTCAATGGACTCACAGGCATCGTTGTCCGTTACAGTATTAAAATGTCTTTTTATAACAGCAGCAACAAAGAAAGTCAATTTTTTTTCTTTTGCTTGTTCACATGGTTTGAAATGAAATAATAAAGTGTTCTTTTTCTTTTGATGAAAAGAAAACAAAACACTACCGATTGGTTACTTAGTGTATTTTCATGTTGCTGTTGCTTTTGAATTCCGATCAGTGTTTTTGATCTACCAACTTTACTTTTTGTTTGTCACTAACGAAAAAATAACTTCGTCATTTTTATAAACTACCTTCATCACTCGCTTCCAACATACATTAAAAAGTAAAAAATATTATCAAAAATTCTAGCACATAATTCATTCGATTGAAATTATTGTTGACGTGGTGAGTTTTTGACTCTTTTCATACTGTATACTAATATTAATATTTCATCCGATTAGTATCTTACACAAATATCAACAATATTCTAACTCGAATTAGCAGGTTAAAAAAATAAACTGATTAGTTGCTTTGTATAATTTATGTAGATCCTTCATACCATTCTGTAATAATATAAACAAATTTAAATGGAGAAAGAATCGATTAATCTAATATTTATTTAGTCGATCTATCATTTTATCATGAATAATCAAATGATGTTTGATATATTATAATTAAATCTTCATATAATAGCTCTTTTCTTCTCTTAACACATTTATTTGTTGTAAATAGTTCTTAGTTAAAATCAATCGAGCTGATCTCATATCAGTTAAAGTTATTTTGATTTAGTCTGTAAAAAGAGAGTTGTCATTATCAAATGATACATAATATTAATAAACCGTCTACTTAGTTATTCAACACAATTTTTCTTTATCAAACAGACGTTATAAGATTTATTTAGTAAAAACTTCAAGTTTATTTTGTGGAAATGACTAATTCATATTTTAATATTAAAATTCAAGCCGAAGATAATAAAATAAGAAGGAATGATAAAATTTTAAGGTCATGACTATGTGAATTAAATAAAGTTATTCGAAACTGTGTTAAGGTACTATAAGATTTTTCAAATACAAAAATATGATATTTATCTCGTAGACTTGAGTTTCGCATCTCATTATTAATCAAATAAACTTTTTATTTTTTACAATTTAGTTAATTGTTGAACAAAACAAATCAATCAAATTATCAATTAACTAGAATGAGCAGTTCACGAGATCGTTTTACAGATATTGAACTGGAAAATAAACGTTTACCAGCATGTTATGATTATCTTAATTGTGAATTATTATCTCTTGAAGAAGCGATGAATGAATTACAAAATTTTCTAAAAGATATAAATAGTTTTGTTAAGTTTGCTGAAAAATATTGTACATATCCAAATAAACATAATTTAACAAAAGATGAATCTGCTGCAATTTATATTTATTCGATGGAAATGTCTCATAATTCATGTGTTTATCGTGTTTTAAATCAAACACTTCGTGAAAAAGATCGATCAAAACTTCTTCCATGGTTTGGATATTTAAAACTTTTAGATTCTGCAACATCAAAATTACCTACATTCAAAGGAATTATTTGGCGTGGTACTGATAAAAATGTTACTAAATATTTTAAAAAAGGTCAAAAAATTACTTGGTGGAGTATAAGTTCATGTTCAACATCTGTTAATGTTATTTCTTCATTTGTTAATAAATCTCTATCAAGTACATTATTTCATATTGAATGCTTGAATGGAAAATTAATTGCATCATATACATGTTATCCAAATGAAAGGGAAGTTATTTTAATGCCTGGAACAGTATTTGAAGTTATATCTATTACATCAAATAATCATGGTGGATTAAATATTATTCATTTAAAAGAAATTAGTGATAATGATAAACCAACAGATTCAAGTAACTACTTTAACTATAATACGTATTAGATAACAAATCAATTTTGATAAACAAATGAACACGAGAATAATTGTGTAAAATCTAATTAATAAATTTATATTTGTTTATTTATTTTTGTTTAAAATTCAAAACCATTTGTTTTATTTTATTAATCGAAATATATTTCTAGATGAAAATATTTATTGAAAAAAAAATAATCTAAAGATAATTTATTTTTATTTAGATCAATATGTGAGCTAATGTCAATTATTTATTCGTTTTTTTATCTTTATAAGAAAAGATTTAAAGACTTTAATTATATTCGAATGTAAAAAATTTGAAACGTAGAAAATGTGTTAAATAAGGGTGTGGGTGGGTATGGTTGTATAAACTTCATCTTGTTATCGAACTACAATCACACCCACACCCTCAGAGACGTTAGTTTTGATTGTTTTTATAACAAAATAAATAAAGACTAAGTAAGACAATCAGTCGAAAACAAAATTCGATATTTTTTATTAAAAAAAATAAAGAAAAATTAATTGATATTCACATTTTGATTAAATTTATTGATCGTTATTTTGAGGACGGTTGATTAATTGATAATGCTGGATGATGAATAATGTTGAGAAGACTTTGATTAAGAGATAAATTGTAAACATAACAATTGACCAAGCGATGAATAAAGTATAAAGATTTTTTAAAGATAATCAGAATTAAAAAGTTGTTTATCAAACAAAAAAAAGATGAGAGATATTGTAATGGAAGTACTATTTGATTATATTCTTCTTTAACATGTCGATTTTTTTCATAGATATTTAAAATTTCTTTGGAATACCATCTGGAAATCGTAGTAAAACAGTTTTTACAAGGATTTTCACTTTGATTTGAAGATGATTTTGAGCCTCACTGGAATTTGACCTGGATAGACTTACCCTCACTTAAATTATGAATCTGATATTTTTTCTACACATTGATTTATACGTATTTGATATTGATGTTGAAAGTCGAAGCTCTTATGGTTTTTGATTTTTATTAATCAGTAATTAAAACAAATCACAAAAAATTCAACAATTTGTAAAATTTTAAATGCATGTCGAATACATAAACCAATGTTTAAAGCAGAGGTGCAGAAAAGCCCTTCTACGCGAACGTGCGCTCGAAAAAGTTTTCGAAAAATCATTGACTTTGAAATGTTTTCTTTCGGGAAATAATAAGGAAACTTGTTTAGATGAAGATTTTGTTTTATACGTAAACGAATTGATATGTTCATTAGGATACAGTATATTTTAAATATATCATAGTCTCTTCTCTCTTTTTAGTTCTTTAACAAAAATATTCAAAAAAACCATTTGTTTTACTTGAATACTGTGGGAAATGCATGATTGATTTTTCTGCGTTGAGGGAAATTTTTCGTTTTAACGGAGAATTCTGCATCCCTAGTTTAAAGTATATCACGGATTGCTGAAATTATATCTAACCATTCCGGTTACGACTTCCACATGTGAACCTACATTCAGCGCATTAAATAGAGTAAAAAATGTAGTTCATTTTCCGACGAATCAACGACGTTTCAACCATTGTTTACAACCACATATTTAAAAAGAGAAACTTAGTAGAATTGATCCAAATCAAATCATGCACAAATGTATATTATCAAACGAAAAAAGGCAAAGTTTTTTTGGTTGAATATTATAGTGTTAAATAAATGGTCTTCATATTTTTGTAAAAATTTTGACTTTCTGTAGAAATTTAGAAACTCTATTAATCAAAGACGCAATAAATTAAACACATTAATTTTTTTATAGCAAAAAAATGTAACAGCGGTTAATCACCTATAATTCAATTATATTGTCTCATGCTAATATATAAAAAGCTACTTTTGAGCCTCATCGGATTTTAACACGTGCCGCCGCCCTTGCATAGAACGAAAGTTTTTTCTTGGTTTCTTTCATTCCTATTTTACCTCTGATAACATATTTCTGCGTTCTTTTTTTTATTTGTCATCGATGTCGTTATCTGTTTTATGCTTTTTTTTTCTGTTTCTTTAACAAACGAGACTGATAAAAATATTATTTAATTTGGAGACAAAGTAAAGTGAGTAGGGTAAAGGTAAGAGCCATTCTCTTGTGTAAGTTTATCATGTTAGGAGTTCTGGCAGAAAAACTCATGGTGATAGCATTTCTGCTACAGTTAATATTACAACAACAACACCAAACACAGTCATCTGTTAGATTTATGTTTCGTTCATGCCATCATCCACACCCTCAAGATGTGGCTCATGTGCATGTATGCTATTTCTAAGGTGTTGAGGTTCCCCTTTAATAAGTGATCCATTTTACACTTAATAAAAGATTCAACTTCATAAGATTACCAAGGCTAAGTTGAGGGGTAGGTGGGTGTCGGTGTAGTTGCTGTTGAAAGATAGACAATATACCCACACGAACGAACATCCACTCGCACTCACACCCTCAATAATTTGTGTGTAGATTGCCAGTACTATAAAATAAAAGTTTTGTTAAATTTCAAGATCATTATACATGACCAACTCTTTCCTGATTCGTTTCGAGCCGACTGGCGAATCTTTCGATGTGCCTTATCAACAACAGACTACCATTCGTGATCTCATCGAGTACGTATGTAAAAGTGCAGCAACATCAAATGCAAACTCTGATGACTACTGTCTGACGATTGACAACAATAAAGAACTAGAAAATAATCAGACTGTGTATGAAGCGCGCCTTAATGAACCCAATCGATTCGTCTTTTTAGAAATATGCTTAAAGGACAATTTTGACTTAAAAAAATATGCTGAGGCTAAAGTACTTCTTAAACAATGGATGTCGACGATACCAGAAACAGAAATGATAACCACTCAAACCACAATGAAGATTGGTAAAAAGCAAAAGATTACTACAGGTATAAGATTTCGATCAAAAACAAATTCTCTTCTCTTTCATGTTTAATTGTCATTATTTTTCTAGACTCAAAATTTAACAGATGGAAACAAAGTGCCGTCACTGTAGTTGGCGGAAATGGAAAAGGACAAGAATTAAATCAAGTGAATCATCCTTTTGGAATTTTTATTGATAAGAAGAAAAGTATTTTCATTGCTGATTGTTGGAACCATCGCATTATTGAATGGAAATATGATACTAAAGAAGGACAAACCATTGCTGGTGGAAATGGCAAAGGAACTCGAATGGATCAGTTGAATCATCCAACAGATGTGATTGTTGATCAACAAAATCATTCGATCATCATTGCTGATCATGTTAACAGACGAGTGATTCAATGGGTTAATCAAAAGCAACAAATTCTTATTGAGAATATTGATTGTGCTCGCTTAGCAACAGATAAATATGGATATCTTTATGTTTCTGATTACAAGAAGAATGAAGTGAGACGATGGAAAATGGGAGAATATAACAACGAAGGACTTGTAGTGGCAGGTGGAAATAAACAAGGAACTCAACTTAATCAACTGGATCGTCCTACTTTTATCTTTGTTGATGAAGATCAATCGGTTTATGTATCAGATTGGAACAATCATCGTGTAATGAAATGGAAAAAAGATACAAAAGAAGGAAGAATCGTAGCGGGAGGAAATGGTCAAGGTAGAAATCAAAATCAACTGCATCATCCTCAAGGAGTAACTGTTGATCATTTTGGTCGAATCTATGTGGCAGATTTTGGAAATGATCGAGTAATGCGTTGGTGTGAAGGAAAAGAAGAAGGTGAAATTGTTGTTGATGAAAATAGTAAAGGCAATCAATTGAATTATCCCCGTGGTTTATCTTTTGATAATGAAGGAAATCTTTATGTTGCTGATTGTGACAATAATCGAATTCAAAAATTTGAAATAATTTAATGAATGAAATTTTGATTCTGAAAAAAAAGAAAAGAAATTTTTTAATTGAATAAAAAACCGAGAAATAAAACAAAAAAGAAAAAATCAAGTTTTATTATTGAAAATTGAATTTAGTTGAATAAAACAAATGTTGAAAAGATCTTCCTTTAATAAATTAATAAATTTTATCGTTTGTAAATGAAATTATCTTTATCTATAACTATGACATATAATTTGATTATTATGTAACAAAATAGGGTAGGTGTCGGTTGAGTGATGCATAGTACATACATCCACACCGTCAACATGAATTAAAACAAGCTATTCACTGTTATCGGCAATAGTCTGTAAAATTTTATGCATAAAAAAAAAGTTTATTTTTTTAAAAATCTTCAAATTCAGTTTCATCTGATTTATAGTTTACTTTTTTCTTTTAATACCGACGTTGCCATAACACTATTCACGATATCTTCAGTCAACAACATACCACTATTCCATGTACGCTAAATAAATAATAAATGGAAAATTTATTAAATAAAGAAAATTCTAATTATAATAACATACCACAAAAGTAAAATTATCATCTACAGTATGATCACGTGCATAGTTTAAATTGATTTTTGAACCTTGTACAGCTATAGAACTCTTGTTAGCAATAACATTTGCTAAAGATATAGCTGCATCGAGTAAAATTTCACGAGTATCAAATACACGGCTAGACATAATAAAACAACATCCATTTTTTATCATTCAATCCAAGATAAAGTAGCAGTTCAGGGAAGAATTTCAGTTAATTTGTAATAGGCGAGTTATGTATGATGGAAGGAACGCTAACAATTATTCTCGAGATCATCTTTGACTTCTCAAAAAAGATTTAAATATCCGAATGTCGAGTCTTGTATAAATGAAAATCTGAGTAGAGCTCCAATATTAGTCTCTTTCTTCGGGAAAATTAAAACGCATGGAATTAAACTTGTTTATTAGGGTGTGGGTGAAATTAAGAAAAGAGCAAATCATAGCCACATCCACATCCTAATCTAAGATATCCATTACGATATTTACCTAATAAGTCCAATTTGTTGTGCTTCATTAGTATCAAATGTTCGTGATGTAAAAACAAGTTCACGGAAAAGACTATGATTGGCAATTGATTTAGGTAAAATTTGAAGAGTACCGATATCAGGTACTAAACCCATATCAACTTCCTAAAGATACAAATATATATATATATTCGATATTTAATCTATGGAAATATGAATACCTTAATAGAAAATGTCGTATCACGTGAACTGTAACGAATATCACAACAAGATGATAGATCAACACCAGCACCGATACAATAACCATGAATAGCAGCTATTACTGGTTTTTCACACTAGAGAAATCAAAACTTTAAATATAGACGAAAAAAATACGATGTTATTCATTTACTTTATCAATTGCTCTTAAAGATTCTTGTATTCGTTGTATCATACTTCGAGTATGTAGTATTTTTTGTGCTATATCATCGATTTCAGCAGATTTAGCACCAGAAGTTACTAAATATTCGATATCAATACCTGAAAACATCTCAACAAAAATATTTTTATATTAATAATGTAAGAAAAAATTTACCAGTACTAAATGCTCTACCAGAACCAGTCAATACTATAACTCGACATGTCTTTTCGATGTTTAATTGTTCGAAACATATTTTCAACTCACTCAAAAAGAAAAACAATACCATTTCACTAAATATACATTAATACCAAAAGAAGAATATCTTACTCGAATAATTTTTGATTCATAGCATTAAGTTTCGTCGGTCGATTTAACTCAACCAAAGTTACATGAGGTTTTGGTTGACTTAATTTCAATGTTTCATATGTAGGTAATGATGCCATAGATCGAAAGATGAATCAAACTAATCAATGATATAGAATGATGCATAAAAGTTTAAAACACTTTTGATATTTTGTCGATTTATCGTTACAGAAAAAATCTTTAAAAATAAACCATTGGATGCAGAATTAAAAGGACTAAATTTTAGTATAGAAAACTTTTTCATAGTTTTTGACCAGAATTCTTTTTTATAACTTCCGATGACAGTGAGAAAATTGTGTTCCGCTGTACATTCTAAGCTAATGACCAATTCGATGCTATATAAAGATATTTATTTTTTCTTACCTATTAAAAAAAATGATAAGAACAGTTCACTAGAAATAGGAGTAATGTGTGTGATGATATCATGAAGCTGATATTGTTGTATTGGTGATAGTCTCGACTAATAAAAATTCATAAAGATAAAAAGCATCAATATGGAGACATAGACCTCGAACAATTTAAAACAGAGATAAATCATCTTTTTGAAACGATTTAACGTTAATGCACCAAGCAGACATAATATCGTTTCACCAATAAAAATAAACATGTGGCGCCATGATATTACTTCACATCAAAACGGAACATCTACCGTATCACATGTTCTTAATCAAATCTATGTCAAAAATCAAATTATTTCTTTCCTTTTTCTATTTCAGAATGAAACCACAATATATTCGCTTTATATTATGTCGTCTAACAAAGATTTACAATCTAATGCTGCATCAGAAAAATACAGTTCCTTTGAGACCCATTCATTCTGTCATACATCAACAATTCCAATAGCACCAACTCGTATTATCATTAACCGAGAAGACAAACAATTCAATTGCAGTTGCACCTATTCTTGAAAGATTTATGAATTCATTAACTTCTTATGCTAGTATACCAATGAGTGAATAACCACACTCACACCGAATTATTTAATCAGAGCATATCACATAACTTATTCTCTTAAGATCATCCTATTCAATTTTAATATTCTTGTTTTTTTCTTCTATTGTTATTCATATTGACTTCTCAATAATCTTAAGAAATCTCATTTTCATTGAATCTTTCTCACCATATCAATATTGATATGATTTAAACTTTGTTATAATAAATCACATATGAATAATAATATTATTGTTTCATTAAATTTTCAAAGATTGACTTGAGATGATATTCGTATAAAAATAATATTGAACAAATTTTGTTGTTGTATTTTAAAGATATTATTCTGATTTCAATATAATAAAAGTAATGATCAATATTCCATATAATTCTTTGTTTAATAATAAATATAAATACTTTTTTTATTAAATATTGATGAATTTATTTTAATATTTAATCATTGAAAATATTAAATTTAGTTATGTAGATCTTAGAAAAATATTTTTTATTTAAAAATTCTAAAAAGTTTATTTAACCCTTTCGCTTCCGCATTAGTTTTCGATGGATTGAATTCAAGTAAATCGTTGAATTAGCTTCTTCTAGACATAAGAGTATATGTTAGACATATCTCATGTGTTCCCACAGGTAATTAGTCGATTTATGCAATATCAGTTACATTGAACTCTATTAGGCTGAACGGCAGTTTTAGCTGGTGAAGTTTATTAATTGCAAAACTTATACAGTGTTTTCATGAAATAACAAAAAACAGTTTTTATGCTGTTTTACACATAAAGAAATATCACAAAAATTGCATTTTATGTTACTAAATGTCGGACGAGCTTTAGTACTGCAATATCCACACCTTTCTTTAGGTTCAGCAACAGGCATATGTGCTAATAATGGAGTTGATAAAGATTTGCTCTTCGCTGTCATTTGAATTATAATAGCCAGAGCAAGAGAAGAGCAAAACAGAAGATGTGAAGGCGGTGTATATGGCACAAGTACTTCAAAAAGATCCTAGAACACTCTCTATTACTTCCTTTCAAAAGATTATATACTAATTTTTATGAATTACATTATGAGAAATATTAAAAAAACAGGTGTAGCTTTTTTTATACCGGGGAAGTGAAAGGGTTAAGTAAAAATTCAATTTTCACATACAGATATTTATATTATAATCGTTTAAATTCATTTTAAATAATAAATCATTTTGTAAATATATTTTGCTATATAATATTTTGTTTTAATAATGAAAAAGATGATCACAGATATTTTGTGTTATCATTCTTCTGCACCTTTTCTTAGTGAATTTTTTAAAAAGAGAAGATCAAACTTCTATTATGTATCTATGCGGAGATATCTAGAAAAATCTTTTCGGATATTCGGTTATATACAATACTTTCGTTTTTATGATTAAATCTTATTTCTTTACTTCGGTATAAGCTTTTCTCTTTCAATTAAAGCATTTGTTTTTGTCGATGTTCTTATTCTCAAAAGATTTTCAATTTCATCAACGAACAAAATTAAATTATTGAAAATGTTAATTTTACTTGAAATTATTTCCAACTTTCTGAAATGTTAATTTTCTTCATCTTATTTACTTTTCATTTTTCAATTTTGTTTCATTAAAAATAGAACGTGTTTTTTCTTCTCTTCTGAGCTTGAAGTTTCATTAGTGAGAAAAAAAATTCTTTTTCGATTTCTTCTACTACCAAGCAATGTTTTGATTGCCATTGAATCATTATAAGTTTGTATTTATAAAGGTAAATAAAAACATTATTCATTTCATTTATAAATTTATATTTAAAGACATGGCAATAGCAAGTAATAAAACACTATGTTTTATATGTAAAAAGGAAAAAATAACATATCCTTGTAGAGGATGTTCAAAAGAATTTTGTTTAATACATTTAACAGAACATCAACAAAACTTAAATGAAGAATTAAATCATATTATTAATGATTATGATCAATTTAAACAAACAATTAATGAACAAAAACAAAACCCACAAGATCACTTATTAATAGAACAAATTAATCAATGGGAAAGAAATTCAATTGAAAAAATCCAACAAAAAGCGCAACAATGTAGAAATATTGTCATTGAATCTTCACAAACATTCATTAAAGAGACTGAAATGAAATTTGAAGATTTATCCGAACAAATAAAACATATTCATGGCGAAAATGAGTTTAATGAAATTGATTTAAATTATTTAACAAATCAATTAATTAAAATTACAAAAGAATTAAATGACCTATCAGATATATCTATTAAAGAAGGTTCACAGTCATTTATTAATGAAATTTCAATTATTTTCATGAAAAGTAAGCTTTTAAAAAATAATAAAAAATTATCTTCATTTCATATAAATTTTTCAACTGAAATTATTTTCATTTATTCATTATCAAATTTATTTGTATTTGTTTGTTGACAAACTTTTTAAAAAATTTTCCTTTTTCAAATTATTATCTAATAAAAAATAAATAAAAAAAATTTGTTCTCATTTTCAATTTGTTTTCTTTGCAAATAAAATATTTCCTCATTTCATTTTACAATTTTATTAAAAAAATACAAAACATTTTTTCTTTTATTCTTTAAATAAAAAACTTCGGATGATATATAGTTTTTTCAATAAAATTTGTTTTTTCATTAAACATTTTTATCAATATTTCATTCAAAAATCACATTTGACAAAGAACAAAATTAAAGTTTCATTAAAAACTAATCTTTTCTTTTTTTCTTCGATAAGAAACAAAATTTTCTTCTTCTTCTTCTCATCAAAATCTTTTGTTTTCATCATTTTCTAGAGCCAAAATTCAACAAATGGAAACAAAATGCCATCACTGTGGTTGGTGGAAATGAAGGAGGGGAAGGATTAAATCAACTCAATTGGCCAAAAGGAATCTTTATTGATAAAAACAAAAATATTTTCATTGCTGATCATGATAATCATCGTATTGTTGAATGGAAATATAATGCAAAAGAAGGACAAATCATTGCAGGTGGAAATGGACAAGGAAATCAAATGGATCAATTGAGTTGGCCTACAGATGTGATAGTTGATGAGCAAAATCATTCGATCATTATTGCTGATAATGGAAACAGACGAGTGATTCAGTGGCTGAATCAAACTCAACAAATTCTTATCAAGAATATTCATTGTTTTGGCCTGGTAATGGATAAATATGGATATGTTTATGTTTCTGATCATAAGAAGAATGAAGTGAGAAGATGGAAAATAGGTGAATATAACAACGAAGGAACTGTAGTGGCTGGTGGAAATGGAAAAGGAAATCGACTCAATCAGCTCAATTATCCTACTTTTATCTTTGTTGGCGAAGATCAATCTGTTTATGTAACAGATCAAGATAATCATCGTGTGTTGAAATGGAGAAAAGATGCAAAAGAAGGAAGAATTGTGGCTGGAGGAAATGGTAAAGGAGAAAATCTCAATCAATTGTCTTATCCTCAAGGAGTCATTGTTGATGATTTGGGTCAAATCTATGTAGGAGATTTGGGGAATGATCGAGTAATGCGTTGGTGTGAAGAAAAAGAAGAAGGTGAAATTGTTGTTGGTGGAAATGGAAGAGAAAATCAATCAAATCAATTCAGTCGTCCTAGTGATTTATCTTTTGATAATGAAGGAAATCTTTATGTTGTTGATGAATCGAATCATCGAATTCAAAAATTTGAAATAATTTAGTAAATGAAATTTTGGTTTTAAACAAAGGCAAATTTCGTATTAAGTAAAAATTCGAGAAATAAAAATACAATAAAAGTGAAGTTTTATTATTGAAAATCAATAAAAAAAATGGAATAGAATTTGAAGAAAAAGAAATGTATTGATAAGAAAAGAATGAGAAAAAGTCTTTTTAGTTCAAATTTAAGTTTAATTTGATAGTTTTGATTCAAAAATTCGAATATACAAATGTTAAATTCTTCATATCAGTGATGTACCATTAGATAATTGACCAACACTGAAAAAACTCATTGTATTTGAATGATAGATAAATAATTAAACATTGAGATACATACAAAATAAAATATTCAATTTTTCAAATGAATACTAAAATTCTGTTGGGATTATTTAGTAATATATATACCATTTAACCTATGTTTCATGTCTATAAACTACTTGAATATCAACGGAAATGTTTCATACCGTCAAATTGAATTTTATAAAAATATTCCGAGAAAAATTTATGTAATTTTTTTGTAATTTACAATGCAAACTCGTCGGTTCTCTTTTTTTCTATTCATGATTATAGTCGACTTATTTGAAACTGCATAAAGAAGGTGTATGATATACGAAGAAGGAAATTAAAGTTTGACTAAGTATATTCTTAAATAATGGGATCCATATGGTTGACAGATAAAAAACAATAGTAACGCATTCTTTTTCATTTTCTATAGAAAATTTAATCATTTCAAGAAACAAAACTTGTGTTATTGTGTTATAAGTTCTTCATCTGATTCCGGATGTTTTTTCTATGTTGTCGTCTACCACTTGTCATTCGTTTATTCTTAAAATTAATTATAACGATCATTATGATTCATGAAGGAAATGGACGTCTGAAGATAAGGAGTGAGTCTCTACAAATAGAAATTCATTTAGTTTTTTCTGTTCTCATAGAGAAACAAAAAAGAATGTGAGAGAATTTCTTTACATCTTCTCATACTCTCTCATTGTTTTCACTTATTATTTGTCTTTTAAAACTTTACTGTAAAAAAAAATGCCGTTCACTATGTTCATGATATGATAAAATTACCTTTTAACTTTTATTCTATTTGTTCTAGAAAATATTTCAATTATTAAACATATTTTAAATCATTACTTAGTCGGCAAAGTTTAAAGGTAAGTGTTTCATTGTAGAGTGAGAACTGACTTTGAAATAGCGTAATAAAAAATATCAGTCGTCTTCATCTCACTCTTGTAATAACATTCAATTTGTTTTGTACGTTTAAGGAATCATCAGATTACTAACTTTTCAACATATGTTTTTTCGTTGTTATTTGTCTACTATTTGAAGACAGAGTAGAATTAGTTATTATTAGTTTCATATTAAATTAATATTTTTATTAATGAAATTCATTGATGTGAATAAAATAATTTGAAAGAACGTCATTAGAAGATACGAGAAACTAATTAATGAGCTTTTTGTATGATGATTGGTAAGTTCGTCAACTGATTCTGTTCGATTGTTCAGACTATTTAAATTTTTTATTGTAAGCTTCTTCATATTCTCTACACTCACTCATTTACAGATCACATATTCCATTTATATTTTTTAATTAAATAGCATAGCTATTTAAAGCTTTATAGCTAATTGGTTCAAATAGCTATTTATAAAAATGTGAACAACTATTAAATTATTTTAAGTAGCTGGCTGCTTTTCTATAGTATTTTTGATCTGTTCTTTTACTAGGTGACTAACGGTAGAAAATCTGAAAGTTTCTTTTTTCGCAAACAGGTATCATAAAATGATATACATTAGAAAATCAGATTTTGTTACGGATGAAGTAGATATTTGAATAATATTTTTTTTCCCACCCCTGCTCGAAAGAAACATAGTAACTTTAAATAAATACATGAGAATTATTTAACTAGCTACACGATGTTTATAAAAGAATGGTATATTAAAAACCAACAACGATTCAAATAGCTATGCATCGGAAGATAATGAGAAGATTAAATAGCTAATGAGCAGAAGTGTAATACATAGTTTTCTTTGTTACTTTTCATAGATCGTTTATATAACAAAAAATGTATCTCTTTTAAAAATAAACCGACTTATTACATAAAGGTTAAATTTCATTGAATGCGAACGGAATTTTTTTTATTGTGAAATATGTATATATATATATTACTTTTTAGATAATTTGGTACTTGTCACATGTCGTCAAAAACTCCGTTAACTCAAGGTGATGGATATGGAATTCTTATTGGTTTTGGAACGATCTTTGCTATGGGAATGATTGGAATGACAATTTGTTTGCATCGATATCTTGGTGAAGCAACAGATTCGAGTGAAACATTTTCGACAGCTGATCGAAAAGTACGAACAGGTTTAATTGCTTCGGCTGTCGTTTCATCATGGACATGGGCTGCTACTCTATTACATTCGAGTTCAGTGGCATATTCGTATGGTATATCAGGACCTTTTTGGTATGCAAGTGGAGCAACAGTACAAATTGTTTTATTTTGTGTTGTTGCTATTGAATTAAAACGTCGAGCACCATTTGCACATACATTCTTAGAAGTAATTCATGCTCGATATGGTCGATCAGCTCATATTGTTTTTATTATCTTTTGTCTATTAACAAATATTATTGTTACATCAACATTATTAACAGGTACATCAGCTGTTGTTCATTCTTTGAGTGGAATGAACATTGCAGCTGCTTGTTTTCTTCTGCCTTTGGGAACGATTATTTATACGATGGTAGGCGGAATTAAAGCTACTTTTCTTACCGATTATATACATACAGTAGCTGTTCTAATTATTATTCTATTTTTTGCATTTACCACTTATGTTACGTCACCTGTACTTGGTTCACCTTCTAAAGTCTATGATTTACTTGTCAATGCGCGCCAGATGCATCCGGTTGATGGAAATGCTGAAGGTTCATATTTAACGATGCAATCGAAACAAGGTGCGATATTTTTTATCATCAATATTATTGGAAATTTTGGAACTGTCTTTCTTGACAATGGATATTATAATAAAGCTATTGCTGCTTCACCAATATCTGCTCTACCTGGTTATGTTTTGGGTGGAATTGCGTGGTTTGGTATTCCTTTTGTTATAGCTACTACGATGGGACTCGCTGCTGTTGCACTAGAAAACAATCCAATATTTCCAACTTATCCAAATCGATTAAGTGCAGCTGATGTATCAGCTGGTTTAACTTTATCAACAGCTGCAGTAGCTCTTATTGGAAAAAGTGGAGCAATAGCTACTTTGATTATGGTTTTTATGGCATGTACGAGTGCTATGTCTGCTCAACTAATTGCTGTAAGTTCCATAGTTACTTATGATATTTATAAAGCTTATTTCAATCAAACAGCAAGTGGAAAGAAATTGATTTATGTTTCTCATATGACTGTCGTTCTATTTGGTCTCGGAATGAGTATATGGTCAATTGGATTGTATTATATTGAAATTAGCATGGGATATTTGTATTCAATGATGGGTATCATTATTTCTAGTGCTGTTATTCCAGGTGCATTGACTCTTTTATGGAATAGACAGAGTAAATGGGCTGTCTGTCTTTCTCCTCCATTAGGTTTTATTTGCTCTGTATCTGCATGGTTAGTTATGACTAAAATTCAATTTAATTCAATTAGTATTGAAACAACTGGATCAGATGTATCGATGCTTGTTGGAAATGTAGTCGCTTTACTCTCTCCGGTCGTATTCGTACCCATTATTTCGCTCATTGCACCTGATCCAACACCTTATGACTTCGTTTCAATGAGAGCAATTGAGCTAGTTGACGATGGTCCAAGAAACGCTAATCATCCGTCTCTCGGAGAAACAGAACGTGGAATTGCTTTTTTGACAGGAAAATTAAAATTTGCACGTATTATAGCTGTCGTTCTCACATCGTGTCTCGTCATTATTTGGCCATTTCCCATGTATGGAACTGCATATGTCTTTAGTAAATCTTTCTTTACCGGTTGGGTTAGCATTGGAATTGTTTGGATGTTTTTTTCATTCTGTATTGTCGGAATTTATCCAATTGTTGAAAATCGTAAGACAATTTTATTCGTCTGCAAGAAAATCTATAACGATTTAACGATAAGTAGACAACACGTCGCCAAAGTGCACACGGACCATACTATTTCCAATATGCAAATGAACGTTTTAGCAGTATCAACTATTGAAAATTCTCATAACGATATTTAATGATTTTATCTAATAAATGTAAAGAAAACTGTTATAATTTTATGAGTCTTTATATAAACCCCCCTCCATAATAAAAGACCCTCCTATAATAGAAGACCCTCTTGCAAATATAACGTGAAATCCATAATAGAAGACCCGGGTCTTCAAATTAAAAAATAGTTTGAAGTTATTATTTTTTTCCATTAAATTCTCCATATTATTGTGTGTGTTGTGCAACGAAAGATAGTAAAGAATTGAAAAATATGGTAATAGCTCGTTTATGCACATCTACAATATGTTTTCTTCACGTGAAAATAGATACAAGTCGACTAAAATTTAAAATAAGAGGATAATCAGAACGAAGATGCAGAAAATCATACGTGAATACACCCGTCCAATTTAATATAAGGAGCAATAAAAATTGAAACAACTCAATTTGCATCAATTTGTGAACAAAAAATATTTGCAGTTATTTTTTGTTTTTTTCTATTTTTATCAGAGTCGGAGTTAAAAAGGGATGAGTTATAACTTGAGTTACAACTTTTAAATTATGAACAACTAACTTTTCGGTCCAAAAGCGATTTTGGTTCTAACTTTAAACTGTGTTTATAACATTTAACCGTGGTTAATTTAAGTTATTATTTCAAATCTATCAACTGGGTAGAATTTCTATCTCTTTAATCTTAGTGAGTAAATGAACCGAAGCCGTATTTTACAATATAGTTCATACCATTTTATCATTACCTACTAAAAAATTCGTATTATCTTCTGAAATAAAGTTCAATTTTTAATTAAGAACTATCTGTCAAATAGTGGCTTCAGTTCAGTTACTCACTAAGGATAAAGAGAGAGAAATTCTATCTAATTAACAAAATTGTGATGATAACTTATATTAACCACGGTTAAATGTTATAACCAAGGTTGAAAGTTATAACTACGGTTGTAATCATTTTAACTTTTCATAATTCCATTTTAACTCCCACTCTGATTTTTATTTCATATTTATTAAATAATATCATCATGACGAACGATATTGATTTTTGGTAGTTTACGCTCACAAATTCGTATTAGAAGACCACCTCATAATAGAAGACCCCTTTAAAAGTTTGATCCGCAAAATGCAATAGTAGACCAGGGGGTCTTTTATTATGGAGGGGGGTTTAATAGGTTTAGTTATGTTCTCATAATTGAAGAAAAAGTTCGTCATTATTCTAAGTTTACATGGAATTATCGAAATGAGAATTTCGATATTTCGTTATTTCTTTTTTGCTTCACATAATAATTATCTATCAAATAAATTCATAATATGTTAATACTTTCTCTAAAAAATTATTTGAATGAGAAATAGATCTAAATAAAGCACATGGATGTATATATGACTGACTGTGACAGATAAACAAGACATCTGCACTCCTAGTTTCCTATCAATAAACGAGAATCATGAATCATCATTATGGGCGAATGTGATTTTATTGTCAGTGAAAACTGTACTCTTGAATAGAAATTTTATTTTAGCTCGAAAAATAAACAAGGAGTGGATGTTTTATCTGTTAACCCGCACCTTCAATCATCCTGGATTCCTTGAATAAAACAACTCATGTCAAGTATCATATTTTAAATCAAGCAAATAGTATACCTACATCCTCAAGAATTAATAATACATCACATTTTATCAGTCATTGTTTATTCAATGATGCAATGCACTAGTCTATGTTGGATAAATTGATGTGAATATTACTACATTTTCTATAATATATTAAAGCTAAACATAATTCAATTCAATTCATAGGTATTTGAAAATTATGCTCGGTTCAATTTATTCCAATTCATCAATTCACAAAATTTTTCTCAATTCAACTCGACACAACTCATCAACTGTAAAAAGATATGTCCTATTCAATTCATTTGAATTGAGTTGCTCAGCTCTGATTCAATGATAAGATATATGAACATAAAATAATTTAGAAAAATGAATTAATATCATAATGAACTTGAAAAGAATATTTTAATTTAATTGGCTAAATAAAATATTCTTTTTATGTTTTCATGATTATATATGTAATTTAGATTATTACTTTCGAAAAATCTCTCTTAAACAATTTTAATTATATTTTTATGTTTATTCAGTTGGCTTATATTTATAATTAAAAAATAATGTAATCTTAAGATTGATTTGATATTTTTCTTTATGAAATCTTTATATTATATATTATTGTATTATTATAAATCTATTTATTTATTTAGTTATTTATAATTCAAAATTTTTTAAGAATGTGGATGTAGTGTAACACTTACGATAGGATAAACTCACACCGCCAAGAGTGGAATCAGAAAGAAAATAAAAAAGAATGAAAACGCTACGGATGAATAATAAGATACCTATACCATCAGGTGGTGTACCTGTGAGAGCAGTGGTGGCTGACATGGAGTTAGGTGTAGATATTAGTGTCAATGTAGAGTATAAAAATAAATGAGATAGAGGAAAATATTGCAGATTAAAAATAAACTAATAATGTCATCATTCTTAAAAACAAAATCGGTGAGAAAATGTATAAACCATGCGGAAAGAGAAGTGATGCTTATCCATTAGTGTTTAGATATTATAATGATAGTTCTTTTTCTCGGTTGGATTGTCACATTTCATGATTTTTGAATAAAAAAATTTGTTTGCTGAAGCGAGATTCTCTTAGTTTGTGTCTCTCAACGATATGATAAGTCATCTGAACAAAATAGTTTCCATTCTAATTTACTATTCATTTCATTTGACAAGTATTGATGATTTTTATTTTTGTTAAAGAAAATGTAACAAATAAATTATTATTTTATGAAAAAATTGTCTTCTAATTTATTTGTTACATTTCATTAGAAAAGATCATATCAAAAAGTGAAAGACAAGTAACCGTCGTTTAGTAATATCTTTTGTAACTATACAACATCAACTATAACAAATGAGTGTGAGCGTGCGTGATAAATAGATATGATACCCATAGCTACCCAGTGGCGGATCTAGGATTTTGGAAGGGGGGGGGCGATTTTTTTTTTTTGGGGGGGGGGGGGGCAATGGCGGGGGGGGGGGTGGGGTATTTTTCTTATTTTTGAGTATGAAGGAGCGATACCTCAGGAGGGTGTGGGGGATTTTTTTTGTTTTTGAGTATGGAGGGGGTGGCGATTTTGGTTAAAAGCTATTTTTTGAGTCCAATCGAAGTAGTGTGAACCTATTTTTTCGTTCATTTTTGCTGTAAAAAATCAAATAATTCGGAAGGGGGGAGGGCGATGGGGGCGATCGCCCCCCCCCTAAATTCGCCACTGTAGCTACCCTTAAAATGGCTAGTTTACTTCATTTTTTGTTAGGAGAAAATGTTCTTAGAATTAATTCATTTCTTTTCTACCTATATGAGAAGAAATGTCTGGAACAATTTTTTTATATTTTATCTTATTTCTGACTGCCATTATTTATATCCTTTTCTTTTTTGCTTTGTTTTTCTCTCGCTAGCAATTATATATATATTCTCTTTCTCGTAAAGAAGAGTGTAGGAAGAATAAATTGTTTGCTTGCTTGTCTATTCGCATTACACTAATTAGTCCAAAAATAATAAAAGGTACCATTTTCCATAAAACTTGACCGAAGGGTGATCGAGGTCGAGGAACACGAATCGGATATTAGTTTTTAGGATCTTCTTGAGAACCATTTTGTAGTTAACGGGTGGTCTTTTAAAGAAAGTCTTTAGCTCTTGAATATCGACAATACTTAAGTGTATAAATAAGTATTATAAATAGAAATATATAGGTTGGTGCCCCATACCGTAATAGTTGATAAACTTTACTCTAAAGAAAAACTTCAAGTGAAATGATGAAACTATATAAATAAATAGTTTACTGATAGTTCAGAAACATAATTTCTACGAGAACCAGTTGAGCGAGTCCTCGAACGTGCGTTACTGGTATGGTGTGGGTGTGGCTTTAAATACCTTGATCCTACCACTAACGGAGTAAACGAAGTGTAAGTAGTGTAAGGAGATCATATACTAATCTACCACTGGCGGATTTTTACCTACCAATTATTATATGAAGGTAAGAGAATGTGGATTATCGTACGAGGATTATATAAAGATCATCCACGTTCACAGCTTCTTTAAAATCGTACGCACTGAATATCTTTGATAGGGATAAGGTATACGTCGATATAGTACAGTTGGTAAGAGCATTGTCTGTGATAGACAAGGCTCTGCTTTTGATTCCCAGTATCAATTGAACTAGATGAGTGTTGTAGAAGATCTTACTCCGGTAAAAATATCAGGAGTATTACACAATTTCGCAAACATTAATCATAGGCGGGAGCTCAGTTTAATGTTGACACGTAAAATTATCAGTGAGAGAATTATCATATGATCTTTCTATATTTTTTAATAGCAATAGAATAGTGTATGAGTAAAAAAGAATCTTTATTTTATCAAAAAAATCAACAGATTTTCAATAGATTCGATGTGAGTGTTTCACTTGTGTCAAGCGTTTCTTCATGACTACATTAACATGCGACCCTAATATTTTGGATTTTCTATGTACACACTATAGCGTTCCCAACGAAATATAAAAGATCAAAAGCTAAAATATAGCTTCAGATGGTCTATATGTTGGTTTGGCGAGCTTCTCGTAAAGTCTCTCTTAAATATTTTACTTTACATCGCATTAAAAATAGAAAAAATAATAAAAGGAAGAAAACTTCTGAAGAGGTAAAGAAATTATTTTGTTTCACATTTCATTATATATTAATCTTTATCCATCGTTGATTCAGAGTGAGAAAAATATAAACGTTGTTTTTTTTCTTATTCCTTTTATTAGATACATTAATATTCACAAACAACAATCAAGCAGTTTATTATTTTCTGAGACAACTGATTGAAACTAACACAACTGTAACTCTACAGAAAATAATCGCAAAGTATTATTTGATATCATTCTTTGTCAAAAATCTTCTTCTATTTATTTAATTTACATTGAAAACTTTTTTATTTTATTGAATAATGTCATTTGGAAACAGTTCAGACAATGATGGTGACTCGTTCAGTTTTCCGGAAGTATCTATTCCACGTCCAGTCCGTTTCTGGTTGATGCTTTCATGCGATATTCCATCAGTAGTTTGTAGCTTCTGTCTTATTATTCATATTATAATGAATCGAACTCAACGACATGCATTACATAATCATACCATTCTTGTCATATTAATCTGTAATTTACCAGTTCAATTAATAGATATTACTTTTTATCTTATATTCTTTTCGTATGGGTCTATTCTACCATCACAACCAATTGTATGTCTTATTTGGTGGTTTGTTGATTATGGCTGCTATGCTGGTGAACTCGTACTCATGGCTTGGTTAGCAGTCGAACGACATATTCTTATATTTCATGATCGATTGCTTTTAAATCGAAGAGGACGTTTCTTCTTTCATTATCTTCCTTTGATTATTTTAGTCACATATCTTCTTCTCTTCTATTTGATTGTTGTTTTTCTTTTACCTTGTGAGAATAACTATCTTTATACAGTTCCCGTATGTGGTCAATCACCATGCTATGAGTCTTATGGTATTCTTGGTGTGTGGGAATCTATTGTACATACAATTATGCCAGTTCTCTTAGAAGGTATTGCTAGTATTGCTCTTATTTTACGTGTTCAAATGCAAAAACGACGACTTCGTCAATCTAATCAATGGCGTAAGCAACGACGAATGATTATTCAATTAGTTTTGGTTTCAAGCTTAAATATTGGTATAGATATTCCAGGCAGTATGTTACTTCTTGCACATTTATGTGGTTTACCGGCGGAAGATGGAGCAGAAGCTCAGCTTTATATCTTTTTTCTTGAATACTTCGTTGTTTTTCTGTTTCCATTCATATTATTAAGTCAATTTCCTGATTTACGAAAAACAATGAAAGAAAAATTATTAGACGTAGTACGGAGACAGCCACATCATATAGTCCCTGTTACACATACAAGAAGAGATATACCAATGAATAGATTGGCATAATTTAATATAATACATCTCTGCAAAATAAATTATTTTATTAAACAATTCTATTTATATCATCATTTACTTTTGTGCGATCTTCTCTATATTGTGATTTTCCTCCCCAATATATTTTCTCTTAAGTGTTGTGTTTTAACGTGCTTGAATAGAATTATGTTCCACGCAGTTTTATGTAGTTACTAATCTTTTCCAATAAACTAAATATGTCTAAAAACTACATTCTCTTAGAAAAAGGAATATAAAGAATAAAAGGATCTTGTTCAGATGACTTATCATATCGTTGAGAGACACAAACTAAGAGAATCTCGCTTCAGCAAACAAGTTTTTTTATCCAAAAATCATGAAACGTGATATTTAAACACTAATGGATAAGCATCACTTCTCTTTCCGCACGGTTTATACATTTTGACGGTGTGGGTGCGGGTTTCTATCTTCAATTAATTCACACCCATACCCACACACACACCCACACCCTCAAGATGGTTATTAATAGCCGTTTATAGAATAGGAGTTTATTTCTTATTTTTTCAGATTCATTGTTATTGAAAAATAAAGAATAGTTCTTTTTCTTTAAATTTAGAAACAGCAGAATTCTTACTTAAAAAAAGAATTGTTCAATCGGTTTAGTTATAAGGGTGTAGCTGTGGGTTTGGGTGTCCTTTCTTCATTCTACACCCAGCCACACCCACACCCTCGATTTATTATTTTGATTGCAGCATGTACCTAAAGCAAAACCAACAATATATGATGGAACACATAGTTAATCATGTGCCACTAGAACGTCTTATAAACAGTCAAAATGAAGGTAGTGGTCGTATTTCAATACGTGCTACCATCACAAAGTGAAAATCACCTTGAGGATGAATGTGAGTGTAAGTGTGCTGATGATGAATGAGAAGAATACTGATACTCTCATCTGCAAACACAAAATCCGCAGTAGTGACTTTCAGTAGTTATCGAAAGTTATATTTCGTCTTTAGAGTGTCTAGCTGAATTATTATCAATCGGTGATTGTTCAGTTCCTACTCATGGCTTTTCACCATGATTAGTTTTCTTCATGTCTATAGTATGTTCGGCTGTTGAATTGTCATTACAGTCACAACTTGACTGACACGTCGACGACGATATCTAATTATATAATATCCGATTCGTACTATAATAGGAGTAATAAGTTTAAATACGACTGTCAAACCACCAAAAAGACCAATAATAATCGTTATTGTATAGATTGGACTTATTTGTTCATCAAATGTATATGTGCACCAAAGAGGATCACATGTTGCATAATAATTTTCATAAACTACTTCAGTTTCCCATCTTTCAATCAGAAGATTATTGACTATAGACTGAACTGTAGTATTACGAGATGACAAAGTATCACTTAATGGATTAAATGTCATATTTGAATGTGTATACATAGACTTGAGTTGATTAATACATGTTATATTATAGAGACATTCAAGTGTTGATTGAAGAAGTGATTCAAATGGATAACATCCCACATGCAAACCAGGAATAGTTATTCCATTAAATGAAGCTTTTGAGATACAAGTTGAACTTGCACCACAAATGCAACTATTATTATTATAAGCATGTGGAACAGCCCACAGAGCAGCATATGCAAATCCCGTATCTGATGAAACAAAATGCCAATTAGAAAAAATTGATGAAACAATACCATTCCCTTGATTTATATATCGAATAAAATCCAGAGTTAATTTAAATGTTCGAGGAGTTGATAAAAGAAATCGAGAAAGAATAATGTCAGTTTGTGTTTTAATAGATTCTTGAGATTGTACTCTTTCATTAGTTATTGTATTTTGTGAAAATTCAGTTATTGCTTCATTCACTGTATCATTAGCAAGTGAACAAAGTGCTGAAAGTAATTGAAAATGTAGCAGAGCAAACTGACGATAATCATCATATGAATTTATGTATATTATGAAATGATTGAGAAAAAATAGTTCGCTTCGATGAAACTTACGATGTGTTTTTTTGCTCGATTAGTTCATGTTGTTGATGTCTTCGATCTGAATACATTTCTCTTTGGTAAATATTCGATCAATAACGTCGTCCAATATTTTTCACAGGTAAAATTATCCACTTTCGATACAGTGGTTGTATTTATACGTAGTTTCACCTTGATATAACTCAGAGCCAATTACGGCAAGAAACATATGTAAAATGTACAAGACAGAATGAAAAAAAAATGCATAAATCAGTGATCTATCATCATCATCTTTTTGCGTTGCGAACAAGCTTCAAATTTTGAAGAACTGATAATTGCGAAAAACGACTAGTCATCTCTGAGAATGAACAAGTAGGCATGACGAAATTCAACCCATGTAAACATAAAACGCAGAATAGTAGCGTTCAGCCGCAGTTCAAAATCGATTTTACCGCGTTTAAACGCGTATTTGTATACAAGCGCGTCTAAATGCAAAAAACAAAATAATTATTTTGCGTGTAGGCGCGGGTATGGGTATGGCTTGGATGTAGTTGAAAAGTCAGACACAATTGGAAGTAAGTCTTTTCATTTAGAATGACTTTTTCTTCAAATTTACTTTTCTTTTAAGTGTTTATATTATATCGATGGAATACTACTAAAAACATTCTCTTTTTCTTAGCAAATACAATAGTTCTCTCCAATCTTGAAAATAATTATTCCTCACAAATATCACTTTTATCTTCGTAAAGAGAATAAAATTTTGTGGTTGATAAATACGGACCTTAAAAGTACACTCTCTTACTGTTATTGATAAATATTTTATTGTTGGAAAATATACTAATACCACTTGAATCTTAACTTTATCGCATGATCATCTATCCGTTTTTAATTTCATTTTTATTAGATTTTTCGAAGAATAGAAATAGACAGATTAGAAGAAATGAAAGCAAGATCAAATTTCCACCTACTGATATGTGAATAGATGCAGCTGTTATATTTCAATTATATATTGGCTTAAGATATTGTCTAGGTTTTAGATATAAAAACGTATATTTTTGCATTATATTCTCTTATCCTAAAATCAACTATGAATACAATCAATATCTACCACTACGTCGTTTTCATTATTCTCAAGTAAATAATTATTGATTTTTGTCATTAATTTTGTTAACATTCATTGATTTTATATTTTAGTGTAACAGGTTTGATTTCTATTCTATTTTATATGTTTATATGTATTAGTTTATTATTTTCATAGTTCAAACTAAATCTGAAAAATGTGAGAAAACATCTCAAAATGGTCCATGTTCGACGAATAGTAAGTGAGAGAATCGGTGGATGATAGATGCAACATTTTTATCCACACACTCACGATATTTAAAACTATAAATTTCATCTATTTTAGATAAGATCAATCGTAAATGGAAGCAAAATGCCATCACTGTAGGTGGTGGACATGGAAGAGGACAACAATTAAATCAACTCAATCTCACTCAAGGAATCTTTATTGATAAAAATAAAAACATTTTCATTGCTGATTCTTGGAATGATCGTATTGTTGAGTGGAAGTACGATGCAAAGGAAGGACAAATAATTGCAGGTGGCAATGGGCAAGGATATCGAATGGATCAACTTAGTTATCCAACAGATTTCATTGTTGATCAACAAAATCATTCGATTATCATTGCTGATTATGATAACAAACGAGTAATTCAATGGTTGAATCAAAAGCAACAAATTCTCATTCAGAATATTGACTGTTCTGGCTTGGCAATGGATAAAAATGGATTTCTTTATGTTTCTGGTGGTTACAAGAATGAAGTGAGACGATGGAAAATGGGTGAATATAATAACGAAGGAATTGTAGTGGCAGGCGCAAATGGTGAAGGAGATCAACTCAATCAATTCCACTATCCTACTTTTATCTTTGTTGATGAAGATCAATCTGTTTATGTAACAGATCAAGACAATCATCGTGTAATGAAATGGAGAAAAGATGCAAAAGAAGGAATAGTTGTGGCTGGAGGAAATGGTAAAGGAGAAAATCTTAATCAATTGTCTCATCCTGGAGGAGTCATTGTTGATGATTTGGGTGAAATCTATGTGGCAGATTGTTGGAATCATCGAGTAATGCGTTGGTGTGAAGGAAAGGAAGAAGGGGAACTTATTGTTGGTGGAAATGGTAAAGGAAGTCAATTAAATCAATTGTATTATCCCCGTGGTTTATCTTTTGATGATAAAGGAAATCTTTATGTTGCTGATCAGAGAAATGATCGAATTGAAAAATTTGAAAGACTTTTCTGAATGAAATTTTGATTTTAAAATAAAGAAAAATAAAGTTTTATTATTGAAAATCAATGAAAAAAGTCGAATCTTGGGTGTGAGTGTCTCCTCTCTTAGCTCACATCTATATCCACACTCTCAAGGTTACTTTCCACCCATGATACTTTTGAGAAACCGCACGATTAATAACTAATGTCGGCGCTAGACTAAATGGCACTCGGTTGTAAACTGGATGACTCGAGAATGAATGGGTCGAATTTATGTTCCAAAACTAAAAGCCACTTTTGTCGTTCTAATATTCATACAGCATTGATTGTACGATATTTTCATTTGCTCAGTTCTTTTTAAGATGGCAAAACAAAGAGGTACAGAGTTCCGAGTTCACCAATAGATCATTCAAGACTATTTCTTCTAGTCAAGATCCATAATCCATCTTGAAAGGAGTGATAGAACGATAAAACTTACTCGCAATAATAGTGAGTGACTGATATTTCTTCAATCACCAATGACTGAATTTTGTGAGTTGGAGATTCTCAATTCAGTATTTATTACCATAGAAACATTACAAGTGAGGTGATCAATGGAATTTTATTGAAATGTTAGAACTGTATTCCAATGTGCTATAGTACGTGCCTGTTGAATGCTAGAAAAAGTTTCCTCATGATAGGTGTGAGCAGTCTTGTAATCGTCTAAATTATCATATATTAGTCCCAAATTGTGATAGCTTTGAGTAAAAATTAGGTTCTAGAGCAATTCGTCGCTTAATGATCAATGTGACTAATTGTCCGCGACGAATTGTCTTGTGACTAATTAGCAAAGGTTATTTTACAATAAGCAAAGTGTGAATCGTCAAATGGATCTATTGTATCGTTTTATATATAAATTTGGAAAGCATGATTCCATTCATTTGAAAATCCGATTGACGATATCCCAGGCAGAGAAGAAATCGTTATAACTACGTTTAAACTTGTTTATTTATACAACTCGTATTTTTAACATGTTTTTTATAGTTTATTTCCAGAAATTTCATTTAAAACTGGCAACAAATTAAATTTGAAAAGATTTTATAAATAAAAGAGACATACTCAGACTAAATTATTGTTGAGAATATGTTTATATTCCAACTTTTTTATTGTGTGAAAATCGACAAGTCTTGTATACTTTTTGATAAATTCAAAAACTAGTAAAATTATACTATTAAGCAATATATGTGCACACACATTGAAGACATTTTCTCATTCGTTCTTTCTCTTATTATGAGAACAATGAATAGAGAAAGGAATAGAAAAAAGAAAAATATTTTTAATATTCTCTTTCGAAAATGTGCTCGTTCTTCATTCTATATATTCATTTGTGTTCTTCTTCTCATTCTGTGCAAGTGACGAAACTACTCACTCGTCCAACTCATCGCCTTTTCAAAGTAAGAATAAATGTACACATATGCGTGCACACTGATACAGTTGAGTAAGATCTGGTGTGCATGAGATATTTATATAACAGTGAAACTCCTTATTTTTATTTTTGTAAGCGAACTGTATCGCGCAGAAGTGCTTAAATGAGAAAAAATATGTGAATCGCGTGCTAGCCACTGAAGAATATAAATGATAGCGAGCAGACAGAAGAATAAGAATGAGACAAATGAAAATGAGTAAAAATATGTAAAAAACGAAAAAGAACAGCAGAACAATAAAATAGTATGTATATTATGTGGACAGAACTGAAAAGAGAGAGGAATGAAAGAATAGTATGAACACGTGAATTTCTATTAACAGTGAGATTTTGATAGTTAAGTTGGGTCGACGTTCAAAGTCAATTGTTTGTTTTATTTTCATATATTTTGAAAAATCGAGTAGACAAGATTTTCGCTGTCCAATTATAATGAATATTTATTAAGCGTTGTAACGATGCTTATGGGTGACTCGTCAATCGAAATCAGTTGAATATATAATCCACGATAATATACCACTTGAATAAATACATATATCTAATCTCCAGTTTATTTTTCCATAATCTTTAAATAAACATCAAAGTTGAAAGTTCTTCATACGACAGATGCAATAAATAGAACTTTTTTTAACTTTTCATTAGTATTTATACTGTAATATAAAAAAATATTCCTGTATCGTCATAGACATGTCTATAGACTGAGTACTCAATGTAATAATATCAACTTATACGTGCCGGCTCCCTTCGAAGGAAAACAGTTCGGACAGAATTTTCGAGCATTACGTATTTGTTCAGCGATTGAAATCTCATCTTAATGGGACAACCATTCTAACCAGGGTTCCGAATGGTAGGTGTACACAGCAGAAGAAAAATGGGTGAAACACTTGCGACTTTTGAAATACACGCTGTTTTACAGGTTGCCGGCAAAAACAAAATGTACACGGTACACTGCGAACAAAATTAACACTTTGTTTTTTCTTAAGCCTTAAATTGATTTCTTTTCTGTTTAAATTTCAATGGATTGATTTTGATGAGAATTGTTCAAGATGATTGTGCAATTATTGTAGAATTAAACTTAGTATAAAAGTTGATTCAATATGGTTTTGTGATGTCATATGGACATGCATCATCAAAAAAAAGAAAACGAAATTGATAGTAAAAATGAAAATTTTGATAGACTTGTTACTAATGTTAATATGTTATTTTTTTTTCGAAATATTTTTTTTGAAATATTCCTATTCATGTCAGATTACATAATTGTGTGCGTATTAATTGTGTATTTAGTATTATTCAGTATGCATTTGTTTTACATTCTTTATTAGCAAAAAATATGAACACTTTCTATATTTCAAGATTATAATTAAATTCAATTTACACACTTTGGTACACTCTGCATTCAAAAACATAGTGTACAGAAACATTTTTTTAGGTTAAACAAGGTGTACAGAAACATTTTTCTTCTAAATTCTATTCGGAACCCTGATTCTAACAGATTTCGTACGTCTGATTTTGTCTTTTTGAACATATACAGATAATGATGAAAGAACATGTCTAAATGATCTATTAATTAAAAAGTAGAACTGTTACACTGAATTTCCAATTCATAGTTAGATGTTTTTTGAGAAATCTCATTAGAAAATTGTCTGCGGATACATTGGTTCTAGATAAAGCGATCCAGAAAAAAAAATTCGACGAATCGAATTTCGATCCCCATTTTGTCGACATTCTTTTTCTTTTGTGTTGTAGATTATTTAATCAACATGACTACCGAACAAGTCTCGACATCGTTTCAACTGATCGATGGTCTTCACGCGCCAAGTTACTACGATGTTAATAAATTTCGTTCAGGTCTTGAATACAGAGCTCAACCCGATGATATATTCATTGTAACGTATCCGAAATCGGGCACGACTTGGATGGAAGTAATAGTGTTCAGTTTAATCAACAATGGAAAACCATTCGATGAGGACAATAATGACTATTTGATGCGAACACCTTATCTGGAGCGAGTAGGTGAATCTACTGTCAGTACAATATCACGACCATATTCGATCAAAACCCATTTGCCATTTGATCGTATTCCTTACCATTCACAAGCAAAGTATATTTGTGTTATTCGCAATCCAAAAGAGGTCTGTATCTCACTTTATCAATTTTTGGTCAAACATCAACAATCGCATTATTATCAGTGCCAATTTGATACATTTTTCAATGACTTTATGGAAGGTAAATTACCGTACGGTGATTATTATCAGTATTTACGTTCGATGTGGTCGTACAAAGAGCATGAGAATGTATTAATAATCTCTCATGAACAGATGCAACGAGATATACGTTGCGTCATTCAACGAATAGCTCAATTTCTCAATATTAACTTGACCGATCAGGATGGATTATTAGACCGTGTATTGACCTTCTCTTCGTATGAATATATGAAGAAAAACTTTGACAAAGTCCGTAAGAATTACTCAACACGTAAGATGGATAATGCAATAACAGCCGGAGTTTCATCTACAATTGTTCGAAATGGAACTGTTAACGATCGGAAATCATACATGACTGACGAGCAAAACCAACGATTTGACAAAGATATGGCTGAAAAAATGCAGGATATGCCAGAATTCGAAATACTCTGCCGCTGAAAGGTGACACTGATTATGAAATCGACAAGATATGGTCTATTTCGCTTTCTTGTTAGAATTTACAATTTAATAAAATAAACAAAAGATGCCAAACTCAAGTCATTGTCTAAATAGATTGATATAGCTGTGTCTTTTTGAGCGCTTGCACGGTTTTAATTACCAATATGGAAATCAATTCAGATCATAATTTTTTCTTGTTTTGTCAAATGTGATCAGTGACGGCACATTAACATCATTAAATGTTAAATCAATCAATTTATAACTGAGGAGGGAACGTATTTAGGTGTTCAAGTCGTTTTAATGCCATATTTCGATGAAGTATGAGAAACTTGTTTTTAAAATGAATAATATAAGTTAAAAAAAATAACATTCGTAATTTCTTCAAACGATAAACAAAAGAATGTTTAAATAAAATTGAATTTATGCAGTTTTTTTCAAACATCTTGTATTATGAAGAATACTTATCGTAAGAGGTACTATCAGCCTATGAATGTCACAAAAGTCTGAGAGTGTGGGACAAATAATCACACCCACACCCACACCCTCAACTCTTCTTCAATAGTCTAATTCTTCATCATAATAAAACGTTTTAACTTCATTCATTGAATTCTTACCGAACGGTAGAAAATGCCGTTGTTTTTAAGAAAGTATTCAACATTTCACAATTTCAGTCTCAGTATGATGTTTTCTTCTTCGTTCTCTTCTGCATGTCAAGATAGAACAAAAGAAATGATTGATATACTATTTTTACTTATAACAGTGTTAATATGATCATAATTATTCATCATGATGAACAATTTCAAATGATAATAAAATGATCAATTCAGTTGATTATGTTAAATATGAATGTGACATTATTCTGTGCAATTCGAATTTTTTTATTTATATATTTCTTTCTCATAGATTTCATGAAGATTTATTCTAAAGATTAACAACTACACTTTTCTTATCATTTATCTAATGTGTCAAATAAGAATAAAATCAATTATACAACACATTTCTGACAGCATATAATATCTTTCAACTAAATGCAAAGTAATAAAAATATTTTGTTGTTGAAGAAGCGTTGTATTTCCTTCGTTAAGGTATGTTTTGTGATGTATCCTTAACAAGAATAACATTAGATTTTGTTTCAAACACTTTGTTTTCACATCCTTCCTACAAACATTTCAATATCATGAACATTTTTTTCTATTTACAGCAAATAATGTCTGGCATTTCATATCAGTTTTGTAAAAGGAAATAGATTCATTGTTTTTATCTATTGATAAATTCAAATGCTGTATTTGCTGCAAATATTTCAAAAAAAAGCAAGTTCTCATTAACATCATTACGTAGGCGAATACAGAAAAGAAAATAAACTTCTTGTTTTTCTAATGTTCAGTTTTCAGTAATATGTAGAAGAGTTTTTCTATCATCCAAGTTAATTATTGAAGAACGTAACTAAAAAGAAACAATTTTTTTTATTCAATATTAATTATTAGAAGTCAAATGAAGCTCTTCTCATTTTATTTATTTCATAGTTTTGTAATTAAATTTAATAGAATCATCTACTATATGTTCGACATTACTTAAATTATTAAGTATCAAGAAAAGAATCTCAAATGATATTTTTCACTTTATTTTTAATAATATTTGTTTGATTTAAAATAAAAATAATAATGAGTGAATGGTCCTGATACTTACTGTATACAAGTGTTTTTATGCAAAATATTTGTGAAAAAAACATCATATGTCAATGAAAACAATAAGATCATTTTCTTGTTTCAGAGCAATTTTGGATAAAATGTTGTTAATCTTAAATGGCGAAATCTACGAGGTAGTATGCGAAATTAAATTAATTCAAATAATATAGTTAATATGATTATTTCTATAGAGAGAAAAACATTGAAAATCAGCACTTTTTGAAGGAACTGCGACGTTTCCTGAGAGAAAAAAAATGTATTTGAACAAAATATTATATTGTTTTTCATTGATGTGGATGTCTACTGAGTAAAGCTGTCCCTATGTTGTTAGATATGAAATTATTGTTGAAAAGATATTGCGTCAATAAAATAATTTAGTATTGATATAACTGCTGTGTCCTTTATGTTCACTTTCTCTACATAAAAACTTAAGAAATAAATCTGAAATTTTGATTTTCCAATGAGAAAAATGATTAGAAGAGCATAAATAGCTCTTCGTAGTATTGAGAGACAAATATAATATTCACAATCACTGTGATAGTCACATCTAAATGTAATTATTCAAAGAATCTACATATTTTACATGGCTATGATTGTAATTAAAATCATGATTAAAGTTCTCTCTATTGATTAGTCATATCTAGTAGGCTATAACTAAGCGAGAATCAAGTATTAATTATTTTTGTTTTCTTAAATATTCTATTCCGACTTCCAATTAAATCATTTATCTATTCTGCGAAATAATAACCCATTTTTAACCATAAATATTGTCCAATTCTTAATTATTTTAGAAGAATCTTTGTGTACAGTAGATTATTTTTTTTCTCTGTGAGCAAATGTTGCATATCCTTTGAACAGCGCCGATTTTCAATGTTTTATTAGATAATAATTACACCAGATGTTGTCTCAAATCGCTTCATATTTTTAGGGAATAACAACTCTATCTGATAAGAGTTCGTTTTTAAAAATCAATATTGAAAAAGGGAGTGTGTTCATTGTTTTTATTGATATACGATGCTTTACATGAACATGATAATCCACGTCACAAGAAAACGGATTATTTGAGAAAGAGAAAGAGAGAGCATGACAAATATTTTTTTTATTATTTTAACAATTTTCTAGTTGAAGTTGGAATAAAAAACTTCTAAGATCAGTCGGTAAGGAATATTAGATATTACATGAAATATAAATCTCAATAATTAACGAGAAACAGAAATGATTTTTTGTAAAAAAAAGATATTAAAATAAACAGTTTAGCTTCTTTATAATAATATTATTAATGACTGGAAACTTTTTTTGTTAATTTTAGATTATAAAAGTATTAAACCATCAACAAGATATCAACAATGATCAACAACAACAGAATAGGAATTGTTAATGAAGATGTAATTTATTGAGAAAAAGAAAAAGCATAAAATACAATATTTAACTTTTTTGATTATTTTAGTCTGAAACAATTACGTCGAATGTAGCTCGACCAAAAAAATTGTATGTATCTTATGAATTATAGACAATAATAAAAAAGAATTATTATTCTAGATGTGAATATCTGAAAAGAAGAAAAGTGATGTGCATCATAGTTATTATTATTGTACTTGCTATAATCATAACAATTTCAATTGTTATCTGCAAAACAAAAAAAACCAACAGTGAACAAACATCAGCAGTAGAAGAAACAACAATTGGAATGACAGAAAAAATCGAAGTTACAACAGGTAGTTAAAATGAGATAATTATTTCAAATAACAGAAATAGAACTGCATTATTTATCATAACAATTTATATATGATACTTCTAAGCAACAATATCAAAAATAATTTCTGAGATCTATAATGGAATTTTTAGCATGTGAAAGAATATTTATTAAGAATAAGTATCTGAGAAAATCAGATATCAGCGATAATTCGACATCTTAGGTTTCGTTCAATATTTTTTGTATGTTATAGATAATAGTGATTCTCAATCCTGAAACGATGAGTTGACAGCACAGAAATTAGGGTATTTGTCCGGTGTCTGATTGGCTAATTTTTTCAACCACTCAGATTTCACCATCATAACATTAAGCAATCCTTATAACTTGAGAGTGGGTGAAATAGGCTGAAAGGGGGTGAAGTAGGGTTAACGTGGGTGAAATAGGCTGAAAGGGGGTGAAGTAGGGTTAACGTAGGTGAAATAGGATAGAAGTGAGTGGAGTGGGTGAAATAGGTTAAAAGTGGGTGGAAATGGGTAAAATAGGTTAGAAGTGCTTGGAATAAGGTAGAAGCGGGTGGACTGGGTGGGAATGTGTGGAATAGGGTAGCAGTCGGTGAAAATAAATGTGAAAGAATAAGAGCGAGTGGAAGTGGATAGAAATGGGTGGGAGTCGGAGTGGATGAGATTATGGATCTTGGTGCTGTGAAATTATGGATGGACTGGGAGATTTGTATCATGGGCAAAATTATTAGTGAGGTTAGAGACCTCAACTTTGGTTGACATTGTGGGTAGGATTAGGGATCTTGATGCTGGACGAAGTTGTAGGGGGACGTTCGAAACGAAGAGCTGTGCCGTAGTTATCGGAGGAGTTGTAGCGATGGTAAGAGGATCAGTCAACTGGCGGAAAGGTTCGTGACATGAGTTTCTCTTTGATGTTGGTGGAAGAAACTTTGTATGATAGAGTAGGTGAATTTTCTTGTATCGCGAGCGTCTTTTTTATTCACCGAAAGAAAGCATACCAATACGATCAGAATAGTGTCCCTATAATACCGCTCTTCTGTTGCTTAATCTCACTATATTATATGTTAGTGGTCTAACGTTGTCGTGTTTACAGTAATTCTAGTGTTCCTTTTAGAACTGAGTCGAGCTAAGTCCAGTGGATCGACGCGTTACTTGTTTAGTAATTTCAATTATTTCTGAGAAATATCAACTTTCCTAATAAATTAAATTAAAGAACAAAACACAAGGGGGAAAAATCTCATTCGGGCATTCGGATCCATTCTCAACCATTCCTAACCATTCTCATTCATTCCTATCCATTCTCTTTCATTCTCAATCGTTCCGAACTATTCTCCTCCATTCCTTTCCATTCTCATCCATTCCCATCCATTCCGAATTACTGTTATATATTCAAAATTTTTAAAATTAGATATGAGCGATTAAAAGTTGTTTTGCTCTTTAAATGATTAATTTATTATTGAATCGAGTTAGATAAATTTTGAACTAGGTCAGTACATATTTGAGAAGTGATAGTATCATATTCTTTAAGAAGCAGTAGATTCTATTCACCTTGACATCATGCGGAAATTCGTTTATATATAAATCTGAAACCAATTTTATTTGGTACCTAAACATAAAGTTCTTATAAAACATAAGTCAAATAATAAAACGTTTGTGGAGAACAATATTCGGACAACTAGATGATTTATCTAACTAAGAATGTAAGTTTACTATGTATCAGCTCATTAATATTTATTCAAAATTATATTTTTATACAATTTATATAAATAAAAACATATTTTAAAAGAACGGTAACGTTGCGTTTATCAAACGTAAAATGTAAATGTAAATGTATGTCTTACATAGTGTAACAAATAGCTATCTGCCTTTTTCTTTCTCTATACAATACACAGCTTCAATATTATACTTTGAAATCAATTTAAAAGTTAGTTTCCATTGATTAGCAATCAGTTTTATACATTATTTTAATGTAAATAATAACTATATATTAGGAGTAAAACATGACAGACATCCAGTAGTCACATAATTTATATAATCGCCCTTCTAACGTATGAAATCCTTTGATATACTTCCAATAGTTTTGAACCATTCCGATCTATTCTCGTTCATTCGCATCCATTTCTAACCATTCCCTTGCATTCTCATTCATTCCCATCCATTCGTAGCCATTCCGAATGGATGCGAATGAGATTTTTCCCCCTTGACAAAACATCTAACTAAAGCCATCGCCCGAAAGCAAACCTTGTTGCGTCGGACTGTTTGTTTTGAGGCTTAGTTTTCGAATTCTACTTTGAAAATATCCTAGTAAATGAAATCTCTGTGGCATTTGAAATGGCCCTATTCAAAGTAAAGAATCAATACTATCGAATATTGCAAAAATAACAAAAAAAAAATAGAGAATTATTCGATGAAATAAAATTGTTATTGACGTGTTTCAAAAAGAATTTGATGGATATGGTATATAAATTTACAGCGCATTGTCCAAGATATTAGACAATAAATAAGAAAATATACAGTATTTGTTTTTATGGAGATGATAATCAAAAATAGTTTGAAAAGCAAATGAATCTATTCTGGAAACTCTGATTACGATCTAATGAGGTCATGTTGAAGTTTTTCTTTGTGTCCAAAGAATCTCAGAGCAGGGTGGGTGTGGTAATTGTGGGTGTGAGTAGTGTATTGTTTTCACACCCACACTCACACCCTTTTTTAGCACTGTATGTCCCCTCAAAACAACGGACAAAAATGACCCTCATGGTACTACTAGGATTAAAGTAAAGATCATAGAATTGCAATTATAATGTAAGGCATCTAAAGTTTTCCTATGTTATTATAATGCACTAATAGTTACGATCGATAGATTGTTAGAGAGGAAGAAGAAGAGGAGGACGACGAAAGAACTTAGGAATAAAGCATTATCCAATCATTTAGTCTCTTTCTAAACTCATTTTTCTAATCTAGAATCACCCACCACATCAATTTCAACAATAACGTCAACAGCAACGTTACCAGCAGCATTAACTTCAACAATAACGCTACCAATAACGTCAACATTAACAACGTCAGGTTAGTAATATGCTGTATGATGTATAATAGCCTAAGAGATGAGCATCACAAATGACCAAATCTAAAAGTTTTGATTTTAGCTGTCCAGTGTTCATCATCTAGATTTAGAATATCAGAGAACTTTGTATGAGAGCTAGAAACAGAATCAAATTTTGATGAATTAATTTCATTTACAAATAGTCAAATATTGGATATATCGGTCGATTTTAACGGTATCATGCAAATATGTTGTCGATGAAAAGATTCTCATATAGCAGAACTCAGTGATCACTTCAAGAACTCCTCATTACATCGGAAAAGGTTGATAATGATGGATACTATGGCTAAATAAAGTCAGATAACGTAATTGTTTGTAAATATAGCATAGAAGATAATCGGAAATATCCATCCAAATGAAAAGAGATGTGCCTTCTATCTGACCCCAATATTATGAGTACTACCATACATCAACCAGATCATGTAAGAAATGTAATATATATTGAGTCATTTTTGAAGACTTATGTCTAGTGCTATTTGTAACTATCACTATTTCTCGTATTACACTGTCAGCACGAGTCTATCACAAGTACCATCTCTATCAATTACTCATGTTATAATTTAGACAAATTCGCATATTAAACATTTCTAGTTGATGATAGTTGCTTATTTGAGAGCAGAAGTGAATCCAAGAAAAATCCTCTTTTATAACTGAAACAGTAGATTTTAATCTATACTTATACATGATATGGTCGGATTTAATCTGATTTATCGGTATGATTATACACGTAGAAGTACGAGTTAATATGAACACCTAATCTCATGTTTCAGGTAGCATTTATATAGAATCGACATGTTCAAAAGAAATTGTAGTTGGATAAAATACTAACTTAACACTTGAGAAACACGTCTTTTATAAACATCGATTTTTTCATGAGAATGATGTGCGCATTATATTCTTTTCATGCACAGTCATAACCATTCCAGTGGTGAAGCCAGGTTTTGAGCTAGGAGAGAGAAAGGGTTCAGCCCCCAGAACCGTTTTGGTCCTTCTTAGGAAGTATAATTTTTTGTTCTCTTTTTCACACTTGGTTGGATAGAGCTCGTCGAGTTGCGTAAGAATAGGTCAGTTTTTATATTTTTTCCAAAGTGCTGAAAGACTCATTTTCTTGAAAAAAATATTAAAAGAACTCATCTTTTAATATTTTTTTCCAATTTTAGAGAGCTTTTATATTTATTCGGACTATGAAAATAATATATTTAGATTTATCGTGAAAAACTACATCGATCTGACCTTTTTTTTTGATATTCCTTAGTGAAAATATGCTTGTAAAATGAAGAGATTCAAAAGTAAAAAAAACATTAAAAGATTAGTTTTTTCTAATATTTTTTTCGAGAAAATGGATCTTTCAGAACTTTGGAAAAAAATGTAAAAACTGATATATTCTTACTCAGCTCGACGAGCTCTATCCAGCCATGTGGGAAAAAGCAAAAAAAACTTTTGCTTTAGTTTTGCATTGTTTGCACCTTACGTTATCGAATGAGTGAAATATGAAAGTGAGAAATCTCTAGAATGTAGCTGAAGCTCATATTAAATGTGTTTTTATTTGTTTAAAAAGTACATATGATTTTCATACAATAAGGTACATCTCATAGAGTATTCCACTACAAAGAATAATAAGATTTTATATCAGAAAAACATATTTTTCAAAATCTTGCTAGGGAGGGGGACTAAGCGCATCGCCCCCCCCCCCCCCCCCCCCCCCCCCCCCCCCCCCCTTTCATTTACAATTCAACTTCAACTAAATAAACAAACTCAAAGTTTCACTGAGAACTAATCTTTTCTTTTTTTCTTCGATAAAAAACAATTTTCTGCTTCTTCTTTCCATCAAAATCTTTTCTTTTTTTCATTGTTTTCTAGTATCAAAATTCAACAAATGGAAACAAAATGCCATCACTGTGGCTGGTGGGTATGGACCAGGACAAGCATTAAATCAAATTAATACCCCTCAAGCAATCTCTATTGACAAAAAGAAAAATATTTTCATTGCTGATTATAATAATGATCGTATTGTTGAATGGAAATATAACGCAAAAGAAGGACAAATCATTGCAGGTGGAAAGGAAAAAGGAAATCGAATGGATCAGTTGAATGGTCCAACAGATATGATTGTTGATCAACAAGATCATTCGATCATTATTGCTGATAAGGGGAACAGACGAGTGATTCGTTGGTTTAATCAAAATCAACAAATTCTCATTGATAATATTGACTGTTATGGTTTGGCAATGCATAAAAATGGATCTCTTTATGTTTCTGATCTTGAGAAGAATGAAGTGAGACGATGGAAAATGGGAGAATATAACAATGAAGGAATTGTAGTGGCAGGTGGAAACGGACAAGGAAATAAACTCAATCAGCTCAATTTTCCTACTTTTATCTTTGTTGACGAAGATCAATCTATTTATGTATCAGATCACACCAATCATCGTGTGATGAAATGGAGAAAAGATGCAAAAGAAGGAAGAATTGTGGCTGGAAGAAATGGTCAAGTGGGAAAACTTAATCGATTGTCTTATCCTCAAGGAGTAATTGTTGATGATTTGGGTCAGATCTATGTGGCAGATTGGGGGAATCATCGAATAATGCGTTGGTGTGAAGGAAAAGAAGAAGGTGAAATTATTGTTGGTGGAAATGGTAATGGAAATCGATTAAATCAACTGAGTTCTCCTAATTATTTATCTTTTGATGATGAAGGAAATCTTTATGTTGCTGATTATTTGAATCATCGAATTCAAAAATTTGAAGTAATTTTGTGAATGAAATTTTGATTTTGAAAGGAAGAAAAAAAATTCTATTAAATAAATAATCAAAACATAAGAGAAAAAGTGAAGTTTTATTGTTGTAAATCAGTGAGAAAAATCGATTAAATCTTGAAAAGAGAGAAATACCTTATGAAAGATTCAGAATAAAAATTTGAAAACAGAAAAAAGAAATACGAAAGAAAATTAAATAAGAGATTGAAATAATATATAACTCAACTTTGATTTTGATTTTCAAAGATTTCTGATGAAATAAAAATATTTTTATCTGCTTTCTTTCAATAAAACTTGCAAAGAGATGTTTTTTTATTTTTCAAAGAAGTTAAAATAAGTATTTGAGAAGTTTTTTTATCAAATTTAATTCAATTTTCTCCTTCCTCATTAAAAAAATCAAATTATTTTGTATAGTTTTGAATCAGCAAAGTTGTTTATGAAAAAGTTACCAATTTCATGAGAGAAAAAGAATTTGAAGGTATGACTTTTACTTTTTCATCCATATGATCACTTCAAAGTCGAATTTATTAAGAAAATTGTCTAATTAGAATAGTTGAAGAAATGACTCAAAAATAAAATAAAACTTATTCATGTGATCTGAAACTTTAATTTTTGAAAATAGATCCATAAAACATCAGCAATGTTAACAGCAGATTTTTGCATCGAATGGGGTCATCCAGAGAGGAAGACATTCGAGTAAGAATGGGTAGTTTCACTCAAAATATTGGCTAAATGCGGATATGGATTATTCAAAGATCAATGCCCACACTCTTGTACAAAATAAGAAAATGTAAAAGATCTTTTTTCTTGAGTAGGAAAATCCATGAATAATAATTGTATCGAATTTAAATTGAGATGAAAAATATTCATGTTGAATATTTTCTCCAATTAATCATTTAGAATTAATATTATTAGATACAAAACAAACTTCTGACATAATATTGCTCATATTATTAAACGTATTTATCATGAAATCAATAGAAAACTTACAGATTAGTTTCATTTTATATGTACTTATTCATCTAAACTCAAAAGCTATTAGATAGAGATAGTTTAAATTTACATATGAATAATTTCTCTAATAAAATCAAGCTTTATAGTTATATAAAAGTATCTTTACCTGTAACTTAATTTTCTCTTTATATGTTTATTGTTAAATATTTCACTTAGAAAATCATTCAACAAATGAAATATGTAAAGCAAAAGATACGTTCAGATGTAATTATAAATAGAAATTAGTTGAAGGTAATCAAAACGAAATGTTAACACAATAATAGTTCATATTGTTTCATGCGATGTTATTATAAAAAATCATATTAATGAATCAATATATCAACACGTAGAGTGCTGGTAACCATATTTCTCCAGTTTCTTATTATTTTTCATCACATAGAACAATTCGAATATGCTGAAATTGGATAGATTCTGATGAATTCTTGTTGAGTTTTTGTGATATTCAAATGTGAATTGTGTTTTGTTTTTTTCTCATTTCATGATCAGTATCATATTACAAGTTAAAAGATAATTTTTTTAAATTGTTTTATAGTAATTCATCCTAGCTGTTTCTTAAAGGTCTTCTTCTTCTTTGTTATAAATGAAATGTAATAGATAACCAAACATACCAATTTCGAAAGTAAAAGAAAAAGAAAAAGAAGGACTGTATATAAGAAGATAGTTACAGTTTAGCCTTTCATTCTTTTTTAAAACAACGACGACATACATATACACAATCAGAGGTATGGATATTATTTCATAAGGGTCAGAGAAAAAGTTTTAGAATATTGAAGATTTGAATCGTGTTTGAGAGGATCATATAAATTTTATTATTCGATTTTATTTGAATTATGACTGTCAATCATCCTACAAATAAGTTGGTGATAAAATATTCTATAGACTTTGAGGTCTTTGCTTAAACAAGGTTCTATTCATAGTTAGATAAATCAGTCAAAGCGCAATCAAGTATCACTATCTTCCATACGCTCGACAATTGAGATAATAAACGTTTGTGTTTAAGGGTGAATGTGGGTAGATGCGACTACGTGTATTTTTGCGACATCCACACTCATATCCAGTTTTAGAAGAAAACATATTTTACAATTTTAAAAAATTACTTATCTGAAATGTATTTCTTTGCGCAAGAAATGTTATGGCCTAAATGACTTCTTAGTTCTAAGTTCACTTACGCTTACAGTTAGTGGTAATGGTAATTGTGAGTGTGCAAAATGAAGCATTTTAAAAGCGTATTCATATGTGTGACTTAGGCCAAAAGAATTCGTTAGTCAAACGGATCTTATAGTGATAACTTTAGAATGTTTTCTTTGCACAAATTCAGATGAGTGCACGTACATCACACGATTTCTATAATATAATTACCACTTTTTAGGAGAAATAAGCTAACAACTTTTTCATTAGTAGTGCACTGCTAATATTTCTTTTCAATTGATTTCACCTTTTCAGGACCACAATCAATATCACCGGGGAGAAAAGTAACAACTACAGTATCATCACAGTCAACACTTGAAAAGTTACCTCAATCTAATTACCAAAATATGGAATATAAAAAACTTCTTATTGGCCAGAACAAAGAAGACGATATAGAATTGACTGCAAAACGAGCAACTACATATGACGCATCACCATCATGCAAAGTAAGTGATTTTGTGTTTAGGAGCGCTGGCTTAGTATTAGCACTGCATTACCCTAATGCTAAGCTAACACCTGTAGTTCTGTTTTATCTGAGTTTTAGCCAGCAAAAGTAGATGTCTTATGAGCATGAGTATGTTAGAAAAAGTTACGAAATGGATTAACTATTTTAGAAAGATCAAAAGAACAGTTAATTCTATCTGTAGTTAATGTTGTTCTTGTAAATTTCGTTTTGTGAAATAAGATGTTAAAGAGAGTATTGAAGTTTTAAGGGTGGAAATGAAGGCGCCCTTTGTGCACTAAACCATCTTGAACGTGTGGGTGTTAGTAGGTGTGGGCACGGTATTAATTTTATACCATTAATCACACTGATATCCGCACCTCTGACATGAATTAATTCGTTTTCTTAAGAAATTCTTTGGTAAAAAGAAAGATCTGAAAGAAGTATTTTCATTGTATGAAAGACAGATGTACAGATTATGTAAGAAGAGCTTTTTGAGTGTTTTTCTGTTAAGAACGACGCGAAAAATCTTATCTCAGTAAACAGAAACAAATATTAGATATTTTTTCTTTACATAAAACAAACTTTAAAGAATGTCAATACATTTCATGCCCTCTAATACTTTTTACTATCAAATTGTTTTTTCAATAAATTTATTGTCATCGATAAAGAAAATCATCATCAATCGTTGCATTATTTTTAATCCTATCTCAAGCTAAAATAGGCTACATAGAAATAAATGATTCAAGTTGAATTTTTATTTATAGAAACCTAAATATATGTACATAATCCAGATTAAATCTCTCATTGTTTGTTTATTTCACTTCTTTTTCTAAGAATTTTCACAAAAGATTAAAAAAACTGTTAAACATATTCTTATCTTTATTCGACATGTAGTAAATTTTAAAAAACGATGAAATACATTAAGGAATATTTATGACAAAATATTCATTTTCGAAAGAGTTTTTGTTCTCTTCATTATTATTCGAGAAAAGATTAACAAATTGAATAAGTTCAATAGTTACGAGAACAGCCAACACTTTCTATAAAATCCTAAATGAATAATTTTTTTATAACTATTTAGTCTGAATCCGAAAAGAAAAACAATATTAAACAATCTACTCGTCAAGAAACAGAATCGTAAGTAATGGATTTATTTATGCGAAATATATCTATGATCTTAGATCTTTATGTCATCGGAAAGCAATATTAATTTTAGTTATCATTATCATTATTAGCCTAATAACTATCATTAGTATTACAATATGGGTTATTTCCATTAAAAAGGCCGAAAAAACAATTAATACAACTACAACTATAATTAATCTATCGGCACCAGGAACAACAATTCTTAGAACGTCGACAACAGAAACAGCAATGCTTACGACCTGGACAACAAAAACATCAGTTCATACAACGTCAACAATAGAAACAACAATTCTTACAACATCGACTAATTCTCATACAACAACAAAGAATGGTAAAGTTTTGTTTTAAAAGAAAAAAATAAGAGTTGACATATTTCTTGGATCAAAAAAAAAAAAGTTCCACACGTAAATTCCAAATTTGTAGCTCAATTACGCATCCATATTTTACTTAATGTCATTTGAAATTAAATAGTTGTTAGAGAAAATTTAGTAATGAAATATAGACCAAATCTGTTACGGGATTCGAAGTGCTATTTCCAAAACAGAATAATAGTACTCGGTAGCTGAAAGTATCATTTCCATAACAGAACAAAAGTATTCAGTATCTGAAAGTAACCGCACCTTCAAAATATTTTTCAAAAGAATTTATTTTTCAAATACAGAGCTTGAAAGGTTTTATATTCTTTTTTCGTAGAATTTGTTTTCAAAATTCAACAGAAAATATCAAATAAAATTTGTCTTTTAATTAAACATGTTTATAAACATTTCATTCAAAGTTATTCGTTTCTCTTTTCTTTTATGAAAAACAAGCTTTCTTCTTCTCATTGAAATGTTATGTTTTCGTTATTTTCTAGAACCAAAATTCAACAAATGGGAAAAAAATGCCATCACTGTGGCTGGTGGAAATGGACAAGGACAACAATTAAATCAACTCAATAGCCCCAAAGGAATCTTCATTGATAAAAACAAAAATATTTTCATTGCTGAGTATTTGAATCATCGCATTGTCGAATGGAAATACGATGCAAAAGTAGGACAAGTTATTGCAGGTGGAAATGGGCAAGGAAATCGAATGGATCAATTGGATTATCCAACAGATGTGACTGTTAATCAACAAAACCATTTGATTATCATTGCTGATCTCGGGAACAGACGAGTAATTCAATGGTTGGATCAAAATCAAAAAATTCTCGTTGACAATATTGACTGTTGGGGCTTGGCAATGGATAAAAATGGATTTCTTTATGTTTCCGATTATACGAAGAATGAAGTGAGACGATGGAAAATGGGAGAATATAACAACGAAGGAATTGTAGTGGCAGGTGGAAACGGTGCAGGAGATCAACTCAATCAATTCCACTATCCTACTTTTATCTTTGTTGATGAAGATCAATCTGTTTATGTAACAGATCAGGACAATCATCGTGTGATGAAATGGAGAAATGGTGCAAAAGGAATAGTTGTGGCTGGAGGAAATGATCAAGGAGAAAATCTTAATCAGCTGTACCATCCTGAAGGAGTAATTGTTGATGATTTGGGTGAAATCTATGTAGCTGATTGTTGGAATTATCGAGTAATGCGTTGGTGTGAAGGAAAAGAAGAAGGTGAAATTGTTGTTGGTGGAAATGGTAATGGAAATCAATTCAATCAACTGAGTTTTCCCACGGGTTTATCTTTTGATGATGAAGGAAATCTTTACGTTGCTGATCAGTACAATCATCGAATTCAAAAATTTGAAATAATTCTGTGAATGGACTTTTGATTTAAAAAAAAAGAAAAAAAATCTTACTGAATAAGTAGTCAAGAAATAAACGAAAAAATAAAGTTTCATTATTGAAAATTAGTGAAAAACCCCGAATGTTTAGATAAAATAACAAAGAAAAATATTTTTGTTTTTTTTCATCTAAATTGAATTTAATTTGTAATTTTCATTAAAAAATTCGAATAAATAGATGTTAAATTCTTCATCTTTTGTAATTTGAATTGAACTGAAATAAAAGTTTTTTCAAAAGAAGTTTTTGTGTTTTAGAAAATTCTGTTTGTATATTTTTATTTTTGTTGAAAATAATCAAATTGTCTAAAATTGAAGAGAGAAGAAATGTTCTACAAAAATTTGATTGCCATGTATTTTACTGAATAAAACAAATGTTGAAAAGCTGTTTGTTTAATAAATTAACAAGTTTTATCATTTTCCAATTTTAGTGGTTCGATCTTAAAAAGTTTGTTAATAAAGTTAAAGTAAAAATTGATTTGACAAAATGAAATCAATAAAATAAATTTCAAAATAAATCAATGAACTTTTAATTTAGATGAAAAGCAAAAACAAGAACTACAGAAGAAAAATGAACTAGAGATTGAAATAAAATCAAACATTGATACTAAATGTTATGCAATGATCCAAAATTTAACTTTGATTTTTGATATTAAAGAGATTTATTTTATTTTTCAAAGAAATTAAAATAAATATTTCACAATTTCTTTATTTTTGATTTTGAATAAAAATTTTCTATGAAAAATGAATTAAATTCAATTTTCTTCTTTTTCATCGAATAAAACCCAAATTATTGATAACTTTCAAATCAATGAAGTGTTTTTGTGACAAGATTTTCGTTTTTTCATTGACATTTGATGGAATAAAATCAATCTGAGGATGTGAGTATTAGTTTTATTACTATTTGATCTATATTAACATTTCAACAGTAGCATTTCTCAAGAAAAACGCCTGATTAGAATAATGAAAGAAATGCTTATCATCAGATTCCAATTAGTTGAAATTGATAAACATTTAATAAAAAGGCTATGGATTTGAGTGTCCTTTGTTGATCTAATAAGAACTCTGACACCCACACCCACCCTGAAGTTGAGAATGTCGACGAAAGAAGTCAATATTCATTGACACATGTGCTGATCCTATCCTATTTCATAGACAATATTCTTTGTACGTTCTTAATGAACGAACAAATATAATATCAGACGTCGAAGTCCATTGTTAAATAACTGACTAGAAAAACAAAACACGTCAAATATATGTTTAGCATTGACAAAGAAAGGTTATGATTAGATATATAATGCACAACATATTGTTACACACAATATATATATCATAAAACAAGATGGATTTATTACCATGTGAGTTACTGTATCATATCTGTCAATATATAGATCATCCGATAGACATTATTCATATGTCACATGTTTGTCGTCGTTGGCGATCTTTTTTTATGAATGACAAATATTTTCTTAATCAATGGTTTTCTCTATCATTAAAACATTCAATTGAATCCTATTGGTGGGCCAAGCATTGGTACCCCCGTCAAAATGACTACCTATCGAAGTTAAATACTGATCAATCATTATTGCCAATGAAACTTCGATCAAGTGAATGCCAATTTTTACCATGGATTAGATCAGAAGATTTATCTAATGATGATGATGATCAAGATATATTTGAATATAATTATCCTTTATCGTTCTGCGAGTTCCCTCATTCTTTTTCCTTTTGGATTTTCTTACTACCACAATATGTTTTATATGTGCGAACTGGTTATTATAACGTCGTAGGTTTGAATATCTCGATTTGTAGTGATGAACAATATTATATTGACAATGGAAAATATATGTCGATCGTTAACAGATGGGTTCATATTGTTTTGACTAGAACCGCTTTACAATCGAATTATCGGGTATGGATCGATGGACAATGTATTTCAAAAGTCGAGCAATATCATATCTGCACTTTTAATGATTGGCAAAAACGCTATTCTGTATTTAAAGTTTTTCTATTAAGGAAACCTGACAATAACTTGTCAGAAACATCTACTCAAGCTCGTATAGCTAATCTCAAGGCTTTTAAACGATGTCTCACATTTATTGAAATTCAAGCTATTCATCAACAACAAACATCAATCAAGAAGGTCAAAGTCGGTAGCTATATCGACAGTTGCAGAAAGCACAATATGAAAGCCATCCAACACTAGCTAAGTTGAAGACTACAGAGAACGATGTTAAAAAGTTATTATTATACTTTTTCCTTATCTTAGAATAGTGTTCATTACACGTTATATCTATTAAAATAAAGAAAAAACTAATCAAGTTTAAAGAATATCTTGAGGGTGTGAGTGTGGGTGTGAGTGTGGGTGTGAGATTAGAGCAAGAAAAACAACGTAATCATGGACAAACTCGTTTTCTTGTTGTAGTATTCAATAAAGTAAAGTCAATGAGTTGAGGGTGTGGGTGTCTTCTTCTTGCATATGCCCACACCCACGCCCTCAAGATGGTTCTAGAAAAACAAAGAATTTTAATGTAAAAAGCGATGATAATAAAGTGTATTTTATAATAAAATAGACATATTTAATGATTATTCGAGAAATTAATTTTATCAATGCATCAGCTATTATTGAACCTATATCTCGATAGATGAAAAAGTTCAAACATCTATATGGTCAACAATGTAATCTTTCGCTTTGTATCAGTAGACTATAAAAATATTGACATATTCGTCCGCAGTTCAGTCCGGCATGTAATAAACAAATAGAAAAACAGTTGTTCTCCTGATGTTAGCGAAGATTTCTTAGCTATGAATTTTAGAACAGTTCATTTGTTTGATTTACCTGATGAAATATTACTTATTATTTTGAAAAAACTTGGTTCTGTTGATGTTCTTCATTCATTATTAAATGTTAATAAATGACTTGATCAAATGGCAAGAAGTATTAACAATACTAAATTCTTAAACTTTTCAAATAATAATATTCAACTTGATCGATTTTGTTATAAAATATTACCTCAAATACATCATAACATTGCTGCACTTACTCTTGATATATTTTCTATGGAACGTATTCTTCTTGCTTGTAAATATTCTAACCTTACTATCATTGTTTTAACTAGTTTTCTTCCAGATATTCTTTTACAGTGTTTAAGAGGTAAGCAAAACGTTTTTATATATAATTGTGAATATCTATTTAATTATATGATTAGATAGATCCTCGATTTCTCTCTTATTTTATCAACAGGTCAGCCATTTAACTGTCAAGAGTGAAAAAGAAATGTTTACTGGTCAATCATTTACAACTATTTGTTTATATATACTTATGTGCTGTAAAAATTTATCATATTTAAACATGAATCAATGGTTAATAACTACACATTCATACTTTTCAATTCGTAATCAATCTATAGATATGTCCTCTTCAAATTTACACACTTTACTTATTAATGTGGCTACTTGATGGTCGTCTAGAACAATTACATTCTTTCACAGTACGTGTTTATTCCATTAAAAGATCAACAGCGAACAATAATAATCGAGTAAGAGAATTATTTTCTTTGAATATAATTAATCTATTGTTTTTTTTTTAATTTAATAGAAAATTTTATCTAATCTCAAAGAATTCTCATTAACTAGTTATTCTTACACAACTGCTTATGGTTGAGGGTGTGGGTGTGGGTGTGTTAGGTTTACTCTACTAATACTTCACCCACACCCACCCTGTTGATGAATTTCTATGTTATACAAATACGTATTTACCCATTCTTGATACACTTTCAATACAATATGATAAATTAGTGACTATCTCAAATAATTTTACAAAAGATGTAAAACAAATCGTATTTCGTCAATTGCTTGTCTTACCGAAAGATTTTTATGATTATTTTCCTTGTTGATAAAAATAGATTAATTCAATATTTGTAATATATTAACAATATAAATATGTTAGGAGAAGATCTTTTCAAGCATTAAGGATATGGGCGCGGGTATGAAATGAATATAATGTCCACACTCACACCCACACCCTGTACTCTTATATTTTCTTCTTTCTCGTGTTGCCAATTTCTTCTTAAAGCATGACTAGCGATAAGACGATCAGTGCCTAATGGCGAATTCCTCATAAAAAAAGAAATAAAGCGTTCATTAAAAAAAAAGAAGAAATATAGGCATTTCTAGAATATCCTTAATAAAACTCTATAACTTATTTTTCAGTTTATAGTGTAGAAAGAGGCATCTGAGAAGTTTGAGTCTATAACAAACTTTCTGTCTGTCCATCGAGATCTAATTGCGATCATGAGGAATGTCATTGACTGTTATTACTTATATTGTCATTGTATTCCATTTTTTTATCAGGAATGATAAATATTGGAAATCCAATCTGGGGATACTTATTAATGAACACTTTTAATCTTTTAATAAAGCAAATAATGTTAATCAGTAAGCTAACACCAATCAATGTAATTATTAAGGTGAGATCGATAATGCAATTATGGATCGGTAATATGAACAAAGATAACATATAAATTACGGCATCTACAGAAAAAAGCGATATAGACTGATCTGTCAATTGTCGATAATGAATGGTCAACACATAATTACATAGTGTCAGTACTGCAAGAAATCTAAAGAATGTACTCTGTAATGAACAGTTATTCGTCGATTCAAACATAGTGAAGACAATATAAATAGTGATCCACATTAATAAAGGTAAGAATATTATTACAATTAACTTAATAGAAAAGATGGACGATTTTACGATTGCAGTCATATGTTCGATAAACTTCAGGATAAAGCATATTGTATATATCATTGATGAAGTCGCTAGCATAATCTGAAAGTCTCGGTTATTTAATATGGCTATATCGAATACAATAACAGAAACTGATAAAAATAACACATATACATAGTAAAACTAATGCAGACTATATGGCTCTATAAGTATACCGGTGCAATAATAACGAAAAAAAAGTCATGTAAAATCCCAATGGAGTCATGCACATCAACAGCAATGATGGTAATCTGTATTTCAAATTCGATGGATATACTTTAACTAAAATTAAGCCAGATATACCCATATTCATCGTATCGAACCAATGATCCCAATAATGTCTAGCTAGAGATTGGGTAGCATTTCGTCTAGCTTGTTTACCATCAATTCTATCGAGTATAAATATCGAATACTGACTTATTAACCATAATATATAATGAAATCGATATAATCTTGGTGATGTATACACTAACATCAATAGGGTCACATTAAATAAGAATCCGGGCACCGATATGATAATTGGTGATAATCTGTATGGTAAACAATTTGTAATTAAATCAGTCAAATAAATTAGTGCGTTTATTATAGGATCACGTTCTAGCTTTTTATACGATTCGTTTTTGTCTAGATGTATAATACTTGGTTTTATTTCCATGGCAGATAATTTGTGATACAAATGAGAAATAGACCACTTTTTACCATTTTCCTCTTGCATTTTATTATCCATACTGGAATTGATACCACTTGTCTCTGGTATAATCAAAAGAGCGTTCTCATTCATTTCGTTATCTCCAGAAATATTTCAACCTTTAATGATATACCAAAACGCAGACTTAATAAGCTTTAATATTCCACACAAAAAACTTCGTCTACAATAAATAAAAAATGTTCAAGGACGTAAATTAAACTAAAACAAACTAAGAAACTACGAAAACGGAATCTGCCTTACGATCAAGCAACATGATCAGAAAAAGAATATCCATAAAAGTTCGAACAAGCCACGAAAATGATGGTCACTAGTTTCCAAAGAAAGCCACTTTCATCCGTAAACTCCACAAGATAGATCCCAAAATGGCATGTGTTCGGTTAAAGGAAGTACGTTCATATATACGTGAATCGTTTCACCAACTAGATCATATTGCGCACTATAACGCCGCAAAAGATGCTACTAACCACTATTGTTATAGAATAGATGAATAGCTTATTTGTTCTAATTGGAATAAATAATTGTTTGATTCCAAGTTTTATTCTCGCTCATTATCATAAGAATGTGTTTTAAATATCATCATTAGGAATATATAGAAATATTTTCTAATTAGAACAATTATTGTGTATTGTTATAGAATAGGTAAATATTTTGTTTGTTCTAAGTGGTAAAATTAATTGCTTGTTGTGACGTTTGGTTGTCGCTCATTATCGCAAGAATGCGTTTTAAACATTATCATTAGAAACACATAGAAATACCTTCTAATTAGAATAATTATTGTGTATTGTTATGGAATACATAAATATTATTTTTTGTTCTAGTTGGTGAGATTAATTGTTTCATTTGAAATTTTTATTCTTGTTCATTATCGTAGCAATGTGTTTTAAATATTATCATTACGAATATATAGAAATACCTTCTAATTAGAACAATTATTGTGTATTGCCTTTCTCGCGGAGAAGAGTTCAGCAAGAATAAATTGTTTGTTTGCTTACTTGTGAGTCCGCACTTCTTGAGGGTGGATATGGATGTGGATGTGTTTGAGGCTGAGAGAAAAGATACTCACACCGACATCCACCCTCAAGATGGTGCTTCAACTAGGTAAGGTGGGCGTAATTCACAACTTGAGCAAAAACTTTTTTTTCAAAGATTTTTATATGGTTCGATAGAGCTCATCAAACTGTACAAGAAAATGTATTTTGAAAACTTTTATCTTACTTTTTTTACAAGAAAAAATCCCCAAAACGTTTATTCCCATTGTCTTTATAAAAAATGCTTATTTTTGAGAACCAATATAAATTTTTTTTTCTTTTTCTGATGATTTCGAAAGTATTATTTTCTTGATCAGCATGAAAAACTAAGTATAAAACAGTATTTTTAATCTTACTTATCTATGCGATGGTCATTTTTTTTCTATATATGAATGACAATACATAGGTGTCACTAGCATAACTTATAGACCTATCTAGTTTTTTT